AGGGACGAATTAGTAGTCTGAATTATGGACCACAAACATTCGCAATTAATAACTATTTAAGGTTTCATCTTAAAGTGCTTACAACAAAACTCTCCAGTCCATATTTTGCGCATTTCTAAAGCCATATCATAGCACGCGCAAATTGTTCACTTCTTTGCAAAGTTTTGCTAGAAAAATTACATTTCTCAGCATGAACTTCCACCATTGGGAAGCCCAGAAAGCCTGGAATATGAAGAAATGGAAAGCGTGTCGCAGCCTAAAGGTGTAAGTAGTTCGAGACCGCTAGGAATTTCCGATTCAGCATGTATGTTTAGATCCTCATTACTATCAAAGTAGTTGATGATGAAAGTAATGAGGATGGTGAAAATGGTGATGGCGATAAAGACGATGAAGATGATGACGAAGATAAAGATGAAGAAAGTGATGATGATAAAGATGATGAAGGTGATGATGACCATAGGAATGATGAAGATGATGACAACAATAAGGATGGTGACGATGATGACGATGATAAGGATGACGAGAATGATCACGATAAAGATGATGAAAGTAATGATGGTCGTGGGCATGTCGAAGATGACAGCGATGAGGACCACGAAGAGCATGAAAATGATGATCGAGACGAAGAGGAAGAGGAGAATATAGTAAGTCAACGTGATTCTTATGCTATTTATCCTAAACTGCCTTCGAAAATGCTTTATCGTGTAGGATGAGTGATTGAGTGCAAAAATAGTTTGCTAAGCTGCCCTTCTTCTTTGAAAAGTTGAAGTGAACTGCCGTATTGAAGCTCATATGCTGTTTACGACCCTTTTCCTCTTGGCAAAGACCTAGAAGAATCTATACGAACACAAAACGAGTATAAAGACCAAGAGAGATTTACCAACTGCAACTCAAATCTGTGAATACTAAATTTAGGAACAGAATGAGAAGAAAGACCTCAACGCACAAAGGAAATCTCTAGCTGAGCCTAAGAACCAGAAAAAGAAGCAAGGCCACGTGGGCAAGCAGGACCTCCATGGCAAGCTGCGCCAATACCACCTGGGTCACCTGTTCCATGAACAGCAGAGTCACCAAAGCGATTTCTGGAGCCAGCATAGTCACCAGAGTGATTTGGGCCATAAAATCCAAGCAAACCATCAAGATCGAAGCGGCTACTTGAACCACCAAGACAACATGGTCCACAAGGACCAGGCGAATCATCTGGACCACCGGCACAAGCCAAATTACCGAAATCAAAACCGCCGACAGGTGAAAACGCAAGAAAAAAATCAACAACAAGGAAGGTATAGTCAGCGTTGCTCATAAAAAAAACTAAGTATCCTTTGTGTATTTTATCATTACAGACGGAGAGCAAAAAGAATAACTGATAAGCAACGCCTTGTTTCCCGTTGATTGTTATATAAGCTGTAAGCCTACAACATTTTTGTGTAAAACAAATGTTGAAAAAAATTATTTTAAAATACAGGGTATCCCAAAAGTAAGTACACACTTTTCAATCGTTAATATCTCTCTTCCCATTGCGTCTTTTTCGGCTTTTCGAGTATCATTCTGTAGAAAAGGCTTCAACTTAGATTTTCAGTATTGAGCGAATCACCAATCATTCTTCATTACTGTAGGATTACTGTAGGAAATTCGACAAGGATTTTAGGCTATTAAAAGCCATATTTTACCTCGGAACAAAAGCAAACAAGCCAAAAACTCTTATACTATGGTAGTGGAAGCCGCTGATTCCAAATATGAAATCTTCACTTTACTGTGATGCTTCTTTCCAAAGTTATCCCAGGTAAACCATAGTAACCGAATTCCCAGTATTTGTCAGAAATTTGATTGCACCGTCAAAAAAGCTGAAAACACTCGTAAAAAGTTATATGGTAGAATCAGCGTGCGCGAAAACCCTAGTTCACAATTTTTCGGGTTTTTTGAAAAAATTTTGTCAGATGGCATATTTCTCGATGATTCCACATGCTGGAAGTTCCTGCCGTAGTCCCACAGTAACGAAGGGAGATCGGTGATTCGATCGATACTGTAAATCTAAGTTGAAGCCTCCTCTACAGAATGGTACTTAACTGGCAAAAAAAGACCCATTGGAAGAGAGATATTGGCGATTAAAAAGTGTGTACTTACTTTTGGGACACCCTGTATTTCGGATTGATCCTCAGAAATTACTTACAGGGGAATGGTACTTGGTCACCGCGGCCATTTATAATGATTTGTACATCAAAAAATGCGCCTTTTGATGCTGGTCCGACTACTGTCTTCCATATCTGCGAAACGATAAACTTTCCATGAATAAACTGCGTTACTGCGGACGGTCACAATTATCGATAAAAAATTTCTTTCCTTTTCAAATGCTACATATGATTTAGATAGATATGGTACAACAGCATTCCTTTAAGATTGTCTTCATTAGCTTCAGATGGTACCTAAAACAAATTTGGTGATTTTAACTACACAAAAGCAGGCAAATTTTCTGCGAAAAAAAGTTCATAAGTTCCTTTAGAAGACCGTTTCGCAAATATCGAGCACAGATTTGGAATCAGCGCTTTGAGGTGCGTTCTACAGTATACATCGCATTCAAAATGGCCACGGTGACCGAGTATCCTGTCCTTGTTAGTTGAATTCTAGGGAGCGATTACATTGTCTGACAGTCTTGAGCAAATATGGAAACTTTTAGTTCAGCAGCTTGCCTTCATTGCTCATCTTTTCAACGTTTCCCACTTATTGAAATAAATTGTTGATCAATGATGATGTTGACCAATCTACATCATATCTCATAATATAACAAACTTCGGAAACCCACATTTTCTGGTTTCCCGTTTACATTTTTGCGTTTTCAAATTTTTGTTCAAAGCGGAGTTCCGTGCTTTTGAAGACAAGGGGCTGAACAAATGATCGCATTTGTTTAGCTCAAGCGTAATATTAGGTTGCCCCGAAAGTTTTGTCGATTTTTTCATCGCTCATCAAAACTTGAAGAACACCAATACATGGACGATCCAGGTATAATTCGATTCAAATTTTTATCCTCATTCCTACAGTTATGTTTGCTCTCTGATCCACCTTGTCTTTGCAATGTTATCGCTAGGCGTTTTCGGTACTTTAGCAAAAACGCCAAACCTTTCCTGGATTTTAAAAAATCTTATACTGACTTTTCCAAAAAGCGCTAGCAATTGTCATGTAGAGCAAATCTTTGGCTACACTGCATTTATTTAAGATTACATGTGCCACGTTTATCAAGTTCGTTATAATTATTTACTTAAGGAAAACCGCGGCTTTTTGATTAAATCTACCACGTAAAGTTACCGAAAATTCCAAAAAGCTAATTTTTCGAAGCAAATCAAACTTGGTTATGTTGCGTTATTATTGTTTATTAGCAATCAAGTTTCAATTCGCAGAAATTTCACAAGCTTTCATGTTTTTGCTGCAGTTGCGTGTTTCATGACTTTGCCAAAAATCGAGATTCCGAAGAAACAATTTTTTGAAGCTAAAAACAGCCGGTTAGGAAAATCTAAATATATCACCATGTAGTCCGAGAATTGTTCTATTTGTGCCATACTTACCTACCCCCGGAACATTGAAAGGAAATTTTCAAAATTAGCCTGACTTTGAGCAGATAAAAATGACGGGTGAAGAATTGTAGCAGCTATCAAAACAAGCATACAGGATTGTTTTTCGGAAATGTAACCATAAGAAAGAGAAGGAAAAGCTGGATCGAGTGCATGTTGAAACTCATTCAGGCCTTTATTGTACATAGTTTTATAGCGGTTTGAAAAAACCGACAAAACTTTCGGGACAACCTAATACTTAGCTTGACGCTACAAAATGCTTATTGAGACTAGAGTTTAGAGGAATCTTGAGCCAAGAAGTTTTTACACATGTTTGGTTAATAGGTCATTCTATGCTGTATGATTCTAGGAGTAAAGCGAATGCGTCACTTCCGCACGATCTAGTAAAACTAGTATTAGAGAAACTTTATTTTTTTAGAGGAGAAAAATTGTAAAATTCGAAATAGGTAGTGTTCTGACTCAGAATGACAAAAAATTGTCAGTTTCGATTTTTTTTGCAACTCTCTCACAGAAAAATTTCGTAATACTAAGCTTCACACTACCACTGTTCATTGGGTCATTAGCTACATGATGTGCAATAATGAAGTGTGAAGTGCTGGCATATAGATCCACCAAAAACATCCAGGAAATTCACAGCAATTTTTTGCTCTTTAATTCAACACCACCCGGTCTTGGGGCTAAGGAATGCACCAGTAGTGCAGCTTCCTTGGCGCCCTCCATCAGTAGCTCCCAAGGAAGTCTCAAAATTCTAGCAAAAAAGATAACCTACAGAATTTGAACGAATAGAAGGCCAGAAAGCAGCACAAAGACAAAATTTTGGCGAAATAAATATGCTTGCAGCATCCTCGTACTTCAAGACCCAAGTAAAATTTTTTCTATTTTTGGGGTTATAAAAACATTCATAGGGTGTCCACGTTTAAAACGATGTGTTGTATGGCCAAAGGTTTGTATTTGCAACGTTTAGAGCGCTCGAAAAGATGGCTTTGTAACATAACTACTTGATTCAAAATTTCTAAAATAAGTGCATTAATCATGAACCAATCTAGCATAATGGCGCTGTATGCCGGGAACTTCTACCGTAATCCTGCAGTGACAAGAAACGACCGATGATTTCTTTGTACTGTAAACTAACAATAAGCAGAAGTTAGCTCCACCGAATAACGCCCATGGGACGGTTAAGGGACCTCACAACAAGATAAGTGTTTACAGTGAAAAGTGTGTAGATACTTTTAAAACACGCTATGTGCCTAATATGCATGTGTAATAGGTACAATGGTGACCCTGATCAAACGTATGCGTAATAAAAGCATACGTATGAGATCTGTTGCTTGAGTCATCACTGCAAAGCATCTAAACTGTTGTGCCAAAGCTTTTATACAGACAAATATGATCAATAGACAGTAATTGCAAATAAATAAATGCAAGAAGTAGATTGCATTATCCCCAGCCATAGCCGCGATACATGGGATATCCACCATAGCCGCGATACATGGGATATCCACCATAGCCACCATATCCGCCATACGGCATCATACCATAGCCCATCATTGCTCGCAGGCGTGCGTACGGGGTACCACCAAATGGTCCAACTGAAAGCATAATTTTGGGTGAGGTATTTGAAACAGTTAAACTAGTTGAAGATTTACTAGGTCCATAGTAGGGCCTGCCATATCCCCATTGGGCAGTAACACTTCCAATACAGACTATAGTCATGATAAGAAGGCAAAGAGCTCGCATCTTCTGGAAAACAATTGCTTAGTGAGTGATTGAAGTAGTCTTAACGGATCATTCGTATGATAGCGAGAGAATGCAGTTTTGGGTCAGCATGCGTCTTATATAGAGCTTGTTTAGATCGCTCCACTTAATGGGTGTCACGGGTTTGTCATATCGTTGTAAAACAAAAAGTACTGGATTTTTAAAAGACCTTCCTGCCATGGCTGTTAAGAAACACAAGTACGCCAACGAAAAGTGTGCCGTTTTTGTATTCTCATGCTGATTCGGTGTTTCTCGCGAATTAGCACTTGAAAAAGGCCGAAAGTACATAGTTGTACTTCCAAAGTTTTGTGTTATGAAAAAACAACTTTGTGAAAGCAGCTGAGCTCAATTTGTCAGGCTGGCCTTGGCCTTGTCTTTCTCATTTCCAGACATGGGGAAAGGCTGCAATTATACATCTTAGTTTCTGTGTGTAAAGTACTGCAAGAGCTAGAAATCCCTGCAAATTATTTGGGGAAAGATCCAGTCTTTTCCATTCTTAGTATCCCATGCTTTCTTCTTTTCCAGGTTTTGGGTGTAAAATTCACGTACATTATTTACAATTGTTCGAGACCCATCTGGTAATGCTGCTCTGCTATGTTTGAAAAAACCTATTTATAAGGTGTGCAGGATTTTGTTGAGCCAAACATCCGAATCTAAAGGAATTTTGAGACAATTCATCGAAATACTGTGTTTATTTGCGTCGAAGTGCGATTTAAATGCATTGAAATAGAGAAAAAGAGTAATTGAGGCTTGCGTTACTTCTAGACAGCACTGTTTTTTGCACTATAACTGACTCTGTGCAGTTCTTCTTTTCGAATTGTTGCATCATATCCCCTCTCTGGGGATTCATATCCCATAGAAATGCGCTGATTTCTGAGCTATGAACTTCTTACACCGTGGTTTAGCGAACGCTCCAAGAGACATGAATAAATACTGAAATTTTTGTACTGCAAGTAACTCCTATTCATAATGCAAAGACAAAATCATTTTTTTCATCTAGACACAAATCAACTTCCTCCTTCAGAACGGGTACCGTAAGTATCTCCGCATAACCAGTATCAGGATGAGCAGTGATAATTCATTCTCGAACAGAACATGTATCCATTAGATTCGCCCGATACCATGCTGTTAGCCGCATTTGGCGAATGCTGATCTCTGTTTGTTGTCTCGAATTCGCTGTAAACATATTCGTGAATGCGGTATACGATGTACATGAGCATATTAACGATCAGTGACCTTCAATCTAGAGGTAGACTCAAAACCACCTCCAAAGAAAGTAGTTACGAACGCAGCCGGCCTTTTCCACTTTTCCCAAAAAAAATCCTCGAAACGTCACTTAAAGAAAGATACATGGCTGATAGTATTCCTGGAGACGTAGGGAGTATCTGAAAATAGAAAAACATTATGATACAAAACATCATGATAAATAGCTCAAATTGGGATGAAGGTGCATTAAATCGGTCGAACTTCGGAATGCAGGGTCACTTCTGCAAAAAAAAATCAAAGAGTGTGATTGCCTACGGTCATAAATATCTAGGAATATTTGGTTTCCTCCAAGAATGTGAGAGCTAGAAAGTCAGAGTTTTTTCCTCCATCTCCTTGACATCCTTTTCAGTGCCGGTGCAGTATTATCTGTATCATTTGTGGTCTTCAGCGCTTTTCTTACTCTTTCTGGAGCTTGTGAATAAAATAAAGTACTCATATCACTCAAGACAAGCACATATGATTAAAATGATTTGTCTGAAAATTTCTGAGAATGGTGTTTTTCAGCAGTAAAATCTTGCAAATCTATGAGAAAGTATAGCTTCTTCAAAATTTTCGCCAAGAAAAAGTGCAAAAATTTCCATTTATGTTCCGATGTTTGTAGCTACTTGTAGATTTCGATATGATTCAAAGCGATAAGCGATTTTAACGAGTAATTGTGAAACAAAATGACTGTACTCCAAGTTTGATCGAAATGTACGACTTTCGAAAAAATTGCGAAAATTTCCATGCCCAGTGTTTCACGGATAGTTGTGAACGGGAGTAATAAGGATTATATGATTGAAATTACTGAGTATAGCTTCGGAAAATTTGCAGCATTCTGTAAAGAATAATGCAGAATGCACAAATTATTCCTAACCGTCTACTTTAGTACTGGAACTTATGGCGGATTTGTAATACCATAGAATTTTGATAGTGTCCAGCTGTCGGTATGGGTTCTCAATTGGCTCCAATTTCCTCACTAAAAACTGTCGAAGTTGAGCGATTACATCATCATTAGGGCAAAATGATTTCCAAGAGTGGTATAATAGTGTTTGAAGCACAGTATAGCGACGAGTCCATTAGAACGTGATTTTTTTTTGGCATTTTCTTCATTCCCGAATCATTGTAAAGACTCTTTTTTCCTAATAGATCAAAATGTTGATGATTTACTGTTTTCAAATGAATATAACATTTTGTGTTGAAAATACAGACTTTAGATATACCTGCAATAAAACTGTCTCTGGCGATTGTTCTGTAGGGCAGCGATTCAATTTCACTGTTTTCACTTTATTGCCAACATCTTTTGTCGCATAAAAATTAGCTCTTTTCTTAGCACCTTGCATGCAGCATCCAGTGGTGCTAATAATAAACACAATCTTCAAAGGGTGAATTCTCTCAACATGGATCATCAGAGAGTGAGAATTAACTGCACTCGTGAATTGCACTTACTCAGACGATTCACCGGAACTTCCCCAGAACAAGCAAAATTTCAAATTAGCAACTTTCGCAGGTGACCCGGCAGAACTTTCCCAAACGTTTTGCGGATGTTCCGGTTAGTTGTCTGAGTATTCGCCATCACCAGCAATATGGTGTTGTCTCGCACGGTCATGATGATCAAATCAGAAGTGATCAATCTACCAAAATTTCACATCAATCAATTAGGATCGTTTTGCTTAACATCAAAGCAACAAAACCTCCCTGTTTCAATGGAAGTAACAGCCTTTCTCACTACCAGCTTTGAATAGAAGACATGCGAAAAAGTTGCTTGTAAAATGTCGGGCATAGCACATCACGCGACTTCATCGCCTCGCGAATCTCTCAACACGACAACTGCTGCTCCATTGCATGCTGATCATCTTGCATCATCTCCTCTCCGGTAAATATGCGTGGTAAATTAGGTTTAACACCGTCTGTATTTCCTTACACTAATTATGACCTAATTAGCCCTCTTTACAAAGGATGACTGATATGTTTCCCTGACATTTTTTGTGTTTACTAACTAACTTGTCGAATATCGAGATGTATGAGTCAGATCAATTCTTCTTGCATAGAAGACATTTATACAGACACTCTCGACAATGAAACTAATGAGTTCCAAATAAATAATCCACAGAATTAGTTACATCAGCCCATCCAGCCCATGCCCATCATCGGATGCATGCCCATCATAGGATATCCACCATAACCTCCAAAGCCGCCGCCGTATGGCATCATGCCATAACCCATCATTGCTCGCAGACGTGCATAAGGGGTACCACCAAATGGTCCCACTATAAGGAAGTTTTCGAAGAATGTACAAAAAACTGATTATATCTAAAATTTACCTGGTCCGTAATAGGGCATTGGCATTCCCCATTGGGCGGCAACACTGCCAATACATGCAATGGTTAAAATGAGGAGGCAGATAGTTCGCATTTTGGAAACAGTAAAGCCTGGTATTTGAAGGAAGCTCTCTATCGAATCACAGTAGAAGCGAGAGAAAGAATACTATGTTCTAGGTCAACATACGCCTTATATAGCGCTTGTTTATATCGCTCTACTTATTAAGCGTCACGAGTTTGTCATGTCGGTATAAAACAAAAGGTGGCCTTGATCCTATGGTTGGGTTTAGAAACGTAGGTTTAAAGCATTTCGTTTGTCTTGTGAATGACGAGCTTGCTAAGGTTTGTTTATAAAGAAACTGTCAGGCAACGAGAGGATAAACCATAAAACTTAAGTGCAAAATATCATATGTCCAGGAAGCTGTCATTTTCAATCCCAAAACTTTCTGTTTAACAGAAGAACGATTATTCTGGAAGTTTATCGTCATTCAAAAGGACCTTTATTTCCTCTTTCAGTTCAAAATGTTCATTTCATCCAGTTAATATATAGGCATTAAACGGTCTATTTAAGAGGTGATCGTTCGAATTTGACAAGAAGGCAAAAACAAACCGACATCGCTCGTATCAAGACAATTTGTCTCCAGAACAATTAAGCATTCTGTCGTGTATTTCGGAAATTTCAAGAAATTTTAGACAAGTATTGCGCTACATCACCTTTTTGAGAAAGTCGAACAATTCCTCTTCTTGAATCGGCGAATCGATATAAATTGGATAAACAAAAATATGTGAGAAAACGAAAGGGGAAGAAAAGCGAAAAGTCTTTCATAAACATTTTGATCCCAGGAGGAAACTTCAACTATTTCCCTCCTAATTTTCGGTTACATGCTAGTTAGCAGTTATCTATTCTGAAGTTTTGCACAGAAAACAAGTTTCTGCTTTCCACAAGCCTTATTTTTCGAGAAAGATTGAAAAGATCCGAGTGAGGGGCTAAATTCGGTAATTTTAAAAGAAAACTAGAGAAAAAAAACTAGAGCCTTTGAAAAGCTGAAAGTTTACGGTTATACTTTTAAGGGCTGTACTATACAATAAATGAGTGGGAACAGCGTAGCTCCATTTTTGTATAAGCATAAAAATCATTGTTTTTTCGATTTATAGTTGAGGTAAAAAGATACAGAAACGGTACATCTAAGTGTCTGATGTGGTTTGCAATTTGTGTGAAGCACGTTAGGGATCCGTGGGGTTTTTTAACGATGATACGAATTTTCACTGCTTTGAGTCTTCAGCATGACTCGGTTTCTGGATGCAAACTCACGGTGGTTCAAAGCTGGTGTGAACTTTTGCACATCGTTTTGTAGAGCTTGCTTTGTTCTATCGAATGGTGCACTGAGCCCTATCAAATTTATGGAGAGTACGACCTTCGCCATGAGAATTTAAAGTGTAACAAGACTTATGTTACAACCCAATAAATTGCAGAAAAATTGGAGTGCTTGACTATCGTCGCTGTCGCGATCAGAACCCATAAACTTTATTGCATAAGTGAAAAACTCGTAGTCTAGAGACGCTTGATAGATGTCCAGCCATCCGTGTACATCCAGATTCATTTTTCGTCATTGATTCAAACAGAAATTGAATTTCAACGTAACCAACCGTAACCTTGCCTGAATTAGAGTGACATTCTACGACGGTACATGTTAATAAGTTCATGAGCTTCCACAGAACCTTTCGATTTAAATCTTGCAGTAATGTAGCATATAACCAATCAAAAATCTAAAATCCCTTTTTTCCAGACAGCGTTGCTATGGGTGGAAACCATTATATCTACCGTTTTCTCTAATTGACAATTTCCGCGTGCTTTTTTTTTCGGAGTGAACTTAGCTCACCTTTACCCCTTGCGAGCTCACACTGCTAGCTGTACTGTTTTTTTTCAGCTTAATTGCACTCTAAAATTTCATTTTAATTCAAAGATATAATTTAAGACTTTGTACTGCAATTTTTCTTGTAAAAACTGAGGTCCGCCTTCCAACAGCACAACGAATTCGTTTATTTCTTGCTGAAAGTGAGCTACTCCCATAAACGAGTGCGCATGGAGAATTTCCTATAACACGTCCTCAGACGAACGGTGATAATTCGTTCTTGAGTAGGGAACATGTATTCATCTCAAGTGATTTGCCCCATGTCGTGCGACGTTAGCCTTGTTCGCCAAACGCTTTCCTGCGTGTGTTTGTTGTCATCGCATTTGTTGTAAAACGTATTCGTAAGCGTGGTATATAACGAAAATATAAACAAGATTAAGGTGACCTTGAGATCACAAGGACAAATTTTTGGATCGAAGTAAACAGCTGAAAGTTTACTTAGTGACTGTGAGCTTTGCAGTATGTACATAAAGATGTTTTCGATCTAAGCAAAAGAGCTAAGAAAGAGTGCTGCAGAAAAGGGACCGGTTCTTGTACTTACTATAAAACTGTTGCTTTCGCTCTCTAAAAGCTATTGAACTTGAACTCCTCGCAATTTTCTATCCCAAAGTCTTATTGCAGAGCAACTTGCAAACCTCTTGACATCTTTTCATGAAATGAGACACAAATGGTCATTTGTCCTATACTTAAGTCAAGTTATTACCTGGCTTATAATTTGGGGGTCTCGATTCATTTGATGATTATACTTGAGCAAATTCCTCGTCGATATGATTTGGTTGATATCCTCCTTCGCAGAGGAGGATATCCCAAGTTGGTGACAGACGAGTTGCATGCCATTAGGCGGGTCTTTGAATGGTAAAAATCTCCTTCCTTTTTGGCAATGCGCAATTCTCCGAAAGTAGTTTTGAATGTGTGAAAGTCCAAATTTTCGAGCCTTAAGTGGCTTAAAATTAGCGAAAAGCCCTACAAAAAACATTTATGCAAAACATTTTCGCGCTGGCTGCGTTTCTAGTCGATATTTGACACAAGATTCCCTTCGCACTTTCTATTTTTTCGTAAAGTTTTCGCTTATTTTATGCCACCTAGGCTTGACGATTTTGAACTTCAAACGCTCATAACTTTTTTCGGAGAGCGTTGCAAAAAGGCAAAGCAGATTTGGAATCAACGTTCAAAAACGCATGACGGCCTATTTCGGTGTGCCGCCCGCCTCCTTGAACAAAAATTCTGGGGCCCACGAAGTTCTGATAACGAGCACCATCGAACCTGATTGACTTTTTTTCTTTCCAAATTAGTGCCAGAGCACGGTTCTCAAAAAGAGCCTAAAAAAGAGTTTTTCGACGGATTTACGCTTCTTAGGTTCCATCTTTGAATTTAGCGCTATGAAGAGGCCTTGCTGTTACAAAAAATGGAAGTTGAGAATCTACCGGAACGTTGATATCGAGATATATTCAAACAAAATTGGTCGGAAAGAAACATTAAAGACTATTTTTGAATTTATGTGGTTTCCATGATCCCCTGAGCGAAAGCATTGGCTTATGGTCATTCGTGATCGTTGTTTGGAAGTTTGACAGAAAAAAAGCCCAACTGATAATAAACCTACCCCAAAAATAAAATCTCATCTTCCTAGATCGATTCAAGATTGGGCTCCACTGTTCTCCATAGCTTTTTTCCGGTACTTTTCACATTTCTTTGTGTTGGTCACGATAAATCATCTATGGGTGAGTCACACAACGGAGCGCTGGATCGATGGGACAATGGGCTTGCACCGTTCGCTATTCTCGTTCCTTTAGGATTTAGTTCACGAATGTCTTGGCAGCTGAGTGTTTCGTTTTCTGCTCCGGACTACGTCGATATTTTTTGATCTTTCTTTCACTACGAAAGCGTCTGCATTGATTTTGTTTTATTTCAAGCATCAGTTTCAACTCTTGCTCCAAAATAGGCTTAACGAAAATTTGTGCACCTTGAAGTATCAACCAGTTTCCAGGAAGTATAAGAATATGTTTTGCAATGTCCATCGGCATTTAAAAAAAGCCATTTATCGTCAAAAGCCATTTATTCAGCTGCGGCAACCGTTGTTCAAGCGTTCCCATAGCCTGTGCAGTTCGTACATTACGTTCAATTCCTTTGAATCTTTAATCTGCTGCACGTCACCAAATTCTGTGATTATCAGCACAGACAAACAAAGAACTATTTTCCCAAAAAAGAGTTAATCTTCTCATCTTTGTAAGTTTGTGCTATCGATTTGATCAATCACCTCTAATGCAACTTCGTGTTGCATAATTATTCTTCTCCGCTGTTAAATATAAATCGCACATTTTCTTCAGAAAAAGGCCTAAGGGCTCAAAAATTCATGAATTAAACTTTCTGAGCAATCAAATTTACCAAGGAAGAGTGGCTCAATGGCAAGAGGTCCGAACTGACCTGTAGGATCGCGATTCCATCCCCCCCCCCTCTCCGCGTGAACCAGACTCCCTCCCTTCGGCATGATAAATTCGTAATTTGAGAGTCGAAGGGTTGAAGGTTGAAGGTTCACAGCTTCCTGCAATCTCTTCGACCATTGCAGGCAAATCATGCAGATCTGAACTTCCATTTTTTATCTTGGCTTCAAAGGGGTCCAATTTTAGATATGGAACTTAAAAAGCGTGGAATCCTTTAAAGTTCCGTTCTTAGAACTTTTTTAACACTCGCGTACACTCGCCCAGTGCCAGCCTTGTCGAAATCAAATAGAAACACCTTAAACAATGTGTGTTCGGATATATTTGTATGTGAAAATACCTCAAGAGCTGAAGAGATTTCGTTCACGGAGCGTGGGCGCGCCAAGGTAGGCGGTCCGCACACCTCTCTAGTGAATTGCGCAACGTATATTTAGAGGCAGTGTTCGGATGGGTCTGTGCAAGTGGTAATAGCGCGAGACCCTCATACTTGATTACTATAATAGGTAAGGGAGTTCAGACCTAATCGGAACCATTTATGCACAATGCGTAGTCTAATGTCCGCAGAGAGTAGAGAAATTCAAAAATTTGATCTATTGATGGAAATTACTGGTGATGGCGTCTGTATGTCCCAAAATTTGTCATCAACATTGTGTCGCTGCGATGTTGTCAAAATGCTTATTGTATTGTGGATTCCTTTTCTGAAGTTTGGAAAATCAGTTCCACATTGCAGCCATTCTCTTCCGAAGCACTATAGGGAAACAGCGAAAGAACTTGAAATAATTTCTTATTCCATTTGTGAAGGACATTCGCTATCTCAAACTTGTGTAAGGCAAGCACTGCTCATATCTTTTCAAAGGCGCAGTCTCAAAGAAGAATGTTGAGAAAAATTATTGGCGCTAAGTAGTAGAAGAAGAGGATGAGTTTGTAATGTGATTTTGCAAATGCAAAACGCATTTTGACCTTCGCTTATAGCGTTGCACTTAGAAACAGGTTCTGTTCGAGAACCTTTGATGACCAGTGCGACGTAACTGCTGAATTGCGCTATTCGTCTTTTATGTTCGTCTTAGACACTGCTGTTTTTTTCATTCTAAGTTCAAACTACACAAACCTATAAATCTTGCCGTAATACACGGTGCAGAGGCTAGTCACAGTGTATTTTTTGAACGATTCTAACAATTTACTGACATTACACTTTTCATTCCTAAATAGATTTACTAAGTACTAAAAAAAGTTTTGCAGGCCTTGCTTATTGAGGAGTTACGGGAAATTCTGTAAACTCCTTTACTTCGTTTAAGGGCGAATTAGCAATAATTTTCATCATTTCTCAGTATTACTATTGGGTTTAGAGATAATTAGAAATAATTAAGGGCCTTTTTAGAGCTTTTGTTGACATTTTTCAGCATAGTTTGTTTCCATAGAGCCTATCCGATGCATAAGAGTGTGCTGCGTGGTCGGCACAGCATTGCTATGTACTTTCACGTAAACAGTGACTCAAAGATAAATTGCTGAGAACAACGGTCATTTAACTTTTTTGCAAGGAGTGTTCTTGGATATGTTCTTTACATTTCTTGAACTGGCTTGTGTAGCTGTTGCGTTCTTCTGCTCATCCTGAGCAAAAGCAAAAATGTTCACATTATCATAGTGGTCAATTAGCCCTATGAGAATCACGCCCTTCAATGAAAAGAATTAAGTATTCCTCCCTCTCCCTGGGAAAAAGTGCGCAAAACATTTTTGCTTCAGATATTGCTTTTTAAATCTATGACTCTGTAAGAAGGCACATGATCAATTTTAGCCCTTGGTAGAGTCCAAATGTGATACCGCAAACGGAGTTCATACCTGTCTACTCCTCAAAACCAAAATTCTTTGCGTTCTCTAGCAATCAGTAAATCAGGCAGAATTTTGAAGGCACCGTCCATCCGAACTGAAATTGGTGAGATGCTTACTTTTTATAACAGCGGGAATTCTGAATAAGTAGTCGCCTATGTCCCCAAAAGGTGAAATCCGAAGTGAGAACGCTCCAGAATGTAGAAGCGATCCAGGCGGCTCCGCCTATCAACGTGGGTGGTTTGAAGATAAAAAGTCCAAGAACGGGCTTTGATTTACCGAAAGTTGAATGATTCCGCCTTTGATTATGATTATCAGACTTTCAACATTGCTATCTATCCTAAAGCCCGCTTTCAAGCTCATTATCTTCAGACCACTCACGTAAATAGGCGGATCTACGTGGGCCGTTCTACCTACTGGAGCATCTTCTCGCTTAGAAACTTTAGCAACGGGAGTGTGGCAATACATAGTTAGGGACCCCCTTATAATATAGCACCAAAATCTTAGAATTCTCATTTTGGCTAGACAGTGCCCGGTTTCGAGTTGGATCTATAGTCAGTGAAAGATGGGACCATGCTGCTAGACACTATACCAGGGCCCGGCACGAGTCGGTTCTGGCGTTTCTGAAAACGAAGTCTTCCATGACTTTCGGAAGTTTTACGAAGTCCCCTTTGACCTATTTGCTTAGGAGAAGATGAAAACAAGAACTAGTTACTAGTCTGAAAGATAAAACGTAGGATAAGAGTGAAAATCCAAATTGGAGCTGAGTACTACGCATGCACAAGGTTTGGGATTGGAGCGCGATATTTTACAAAGCGATATATGAGAAAATGAAGGCAAAAAACAAAGGAAAGGCAATGATATGAAAATGTTTTCATGCTCAGGGGTAGATTTTTGACCGGGGAATCCGTCCATGATAGAAAAATCCAAAACTTATGTGAAGTGACAGAAATATATGCTCCAGACGATCTCAGATCGTCTGGTGGCCGTCTGGAGACGATCTAATTTTGGAAAACGTATTACTTCACATAAGTTTTCAAACCTTTATACATAATTCTTTTGCAAATAATTTTAAATGTATACAGTACAATTTTGGTGTCATATGACTTTGTGTGCACTGTAAACAAGCAATTTGTTTATTTTAGCCTTGCTTTCAAATTGCGCGCACTTTTCGCCATACACGATAGAGCATGTCAATCGTGTGATAACCTGTCTGAAAAGCTTGTATTCGACTAAATGGCGCTTATTCTTGGTGCTGGGCCCCGAATCGTCAAAAACGATATCTCCTTTGCTTTTTGCTCCAAAAACGAAGTCCAGCCTGCTTCTAGACGATCTGTGCCGGGCCCTGCACTATACCTTGGACCAAATCGAATAAATATTGAAGTATTCGATTAATATTCGAATAAATTTTATTCGAAATTCGATTACTCGAAAATTTCAAAATCTCGAATATATTCGATATTCGCTTATTCGAAATTTGTCAGTTTCGAATTTATTCGATTATTCGGTTATTCAAAAATTTTGATTTTCGAAAATATTCGAACATTCGAATATTTATTTTCAGAAGTTATTAGATTATTCGACAATTTCGTGTAATCGAATAACTAAATGACAGCGTCACAATTTTGACTGCTATATCAGCAACCATCGTTTGTTGTTCAAGTTGCCCACTTCATGGAGTGCTCCATTGTACTAATTCGTTTAGAATTTGTTTGAATATTCGACATAATCAATGCAAAATATTCGTTTATTCGGATTTTTTACAAATATATTCGACTATTCGGTTTTTTCTTCCATTGCATATATTCGATATTTGATTATTCGACGATTTTCCTAGAAAATATTCGATATTCGATTATTCGACATTTTTGATTTTCGAATATGTTCGGTTATTCGATTATTTGGAAGAATTCTCGAATATTCCATAGACACCCATGACCTTGAGTATTCGTCAGAGCATATCTATCGACTGTGCTCTTATGTTGTCCACAGCGAGGGGATTGTGCAGTTGACATGAGATTGCTCATTTATCAGTTTATCTTTCTGATAACATGCAACGTAAAGTGGACTGCAATACTTCTGCACTTATGCTCTCGCTTATGCTCAATAACATAAAGCAAGTTATCTTCTTAGGCTTGACTCAGTTCGTCTCGTTTTCGTCAATGGCCTTAATTCCAACCATAGGAGAACATAAGGGAAGATTCAAGGAGGAGCTCGAATAAAAAATAGTATTTATCACTTCAATATTGGTTACATTACCTACTAGGAAAGATTTAAAAGCTGGTTGGAATTTTGGCAGTACGTGGGAATAATGTTGGTACTTTTTGCCACACTTCCCTTCATCTTTCTAAATCATTGTCAATGAAGTTCAAACAATCAGTTTTTCTGAGTGTTTGTCTGCATTGTCTAAGAATAACCAATGTCGTAAATGCAAAAAAGAGTTCTCTGGTCTGTCGTTGTAATATTGCACTTGGGAAGGGGGTTTCCTTGCAAGTTCTCCCGTTTAATGGTCATTTATAAAGCGAACGCTTCCCGAAACCGGCTCATTCGTCTTCAGTTTTGGAATCTTCTTCGCGCAAACGTCCACGTTCCATCTTAGCAGAGAAGGATAAAAATCTGTTTTTTTTAAATTTAATGGTCAGGAATGCCTCATATCCTTTGAGACTTTTTCAATTATTTTCGGAAACGTTTGCCATGCGATATGCACTTCTACTAAATCATGATGTTTAAACTGTCTTGTACTTGTACCTATTTCGGATAGCATACACCTCCTTTGAATCCAGTTTTTGTTGCTGTTTTGATTTGCAAATCTCGAAAAATATGCAGATACAAAAGAAATAGATAAACTAGCATCATTAAAATGAAGAAGACGAAAAATTCACCTAGAATTCGCCTCATATCAAGAAAATTCTCAACATTGTACTTCAAGTGTTACTTTTTTCTCTTCTACTCATTAATCCTTTCCAAAACGATTTGAACTATTTTTTAATAAATATCTATAATAAACAATTTTCAGAAAAATGCTTCCGCTTCTGTTTCTCTTCCAACTGTTTGTATTCGCTTTCTCAGTCGAAGAGAAAATAGAGCCACAAAAGAGTTTCGTTGCTGGAGGAATAACACCACAAAAAGCTGACGCACCCGAGCACTTGGTAATCTTTTTCATGGATACCTAAGCTAGCAAACTTGTGGTTTCTCTTCAAATACGATGGTAATCAAACTGCAGGAAAAAGCCTGGAAAGCTATCAAGAAACTCAACGAAGAAGCTAATGAAGGGGAAAATCTCATGGTTCCAATTGAGATAAGTTAACTTGGCTGTAGATTTGATAAGAAAAACAGGATAAAGTCTGAGTTTTTTTGGCTTGATTTGTTCTTGATAAGCTTGGGATTGCTTCTGGCAATGATGGGATAGCTAGCTATTTTCTTCAAAAAATAGCCAGACGATCTGAGAAAGTTTTTTATTGCAGGTCAAGAAAGCTGAAAGTCAAGTTGTTGCTGGTATCAGGTACATCTATGAAGTGCTCTATGGTGAATCCACGTGCAAAAAATCGGTAAGTCAAATAATTTTTTACAACCGTCTCGAAAACTGCAGGCATTACATAATGTAACAGGACCTTTTAGAGTGAATACAAAAAAGCTCAAATAAAATAGAACGAAGGGGACGTAAATCTGTGAAGCACTTCACAAGTTAATGTACCCTAATTTCACGCGTACAAGGCGCGGGGGAAATTTTTCCAAAATCGACGAGGCCAAAAACGCCGAAGGACTTCGTAACCAAAGGACCCTATACCTTGCTGTATATTGCTTAAAAGAATCGTACGGCATAAAAGCGCTTCCCCGGATACAGTGAAGCCGCTAAGCAGCTTATTTGAAAAATCGAAATAGGTGCGCCTTGTACGCGTGAAATTGGGCTACTCATTTTGCGAGATATAACGAGAAATTATGAAAACCAACGGAATTTTGAACGATTACTAAAAATGATTTTCTCTCACGATGTACTAGGGTACCACAGCGTTTTGCCCATTTTCCTGCTTCCGGCTTCTAATTTGTAGAAAAACTCCGTTGTTGCGAAGCAATATAGGTAAACATGTTATAAAAATAGTCTGATTTGAAAAATCTTAGGAAATGATCTTTTCACTGATAACGTTCTTTACACTTACGAATGTCACTGCCACGTCAAAATGTAAAGTCGGTTTTCGAAAAATCACGGCACTCGAAAAAAGTATGCAGGGACAGGATTTTTTAAATAATAAATTGTTAAAGCAAATCATGGCTTGCAGGCCATTGAACACAATGACAATTTACTTACTTGCCATAACTATCAACACACATACTTTCGTTATCGTATCATTAAGGATGCTTCAAACGATGTCTCCGCAACGAAAGCCAACTGCAAACCAAAGGAAGGCGGGAAGAAAGCTGTAAGTTTTCTTACTATATTTTCTCGGTCAAATCGGCAACCAACTTCAACATTTACTTTCAGCTTTACAAGGTAGATCTCTGGGAGAAGCCTTGGCAAAACTTCGAGCAGTTTACCATAACGAAGATCCAGGACGTTGCATGAACTACATCGAACAGAGCAATAAAGTGTTACCATCGCCATATATAAAATACTCATCATTCTAAGATAATAAAATATTTTTTCCTTTGCAGAGATCATATCCTTTTAAATTTCACTTCCATTAGAAAGTGAGGAGTGCGAGTCATACTGTCACAGCAAAGTTGCTACTTTTTCCAAATTATTAATTGAAAGGTGTAACTATATTCGTATAGTTGATCGTTGACCGTACGGACTGGACATCACTGCGGAGCACGCGCCGCGAGATAAAACGCTTGCCCCAGTACAAATCCGCCATTGTAAAGACTGTTGCATGACGAAGGAGCAATACTCTTGGGCGCGAACTCTGCTTTATTAGCCGTAGAGCGCATAAGGCGCAGGATTTACAACGGTGAAGATACGCACGCGCCGAGTTCGCGCTCGCTCAACTGATACTGCTATTGCGCCTTCGTCATGCTCTAGCCTTTATACAAGTCGTGCTCTCGCGACAATTCAGCCGCGTCGCGCGTGGGCCGCAGCGTTTGAGCAGTCCGCTCAGTCAACGAATACAAGTATTGTGGTCATGCTCACCTTATTCTAACACAAAACCTACTTCACGGATTCAACGTAAATTTTCAAATTCGGATTTACTCAAGGAGTCGAAATCCGGTCTATGGGGTACACAACTCTATGTGATAGGCATTCTTCTGATGCTCTGATCTTCTTGACCCATCGTGACAGTGCTGCCCCTTTGTTGTTCTGGCTTTCATTAACCTTCATAATTAGTGAGTTTTTGCAACGTTGTAGCAAGCATACACTGAGAATCTACAGGGTGTCCCAAAAGTCTAGTAGCCTAGGTTTGCATTATAACTTATGAACCACTCGCAGTTTCGGTTTCAAATTCATGCCATAGAATGCTGCGATCATCCCTTAGGCCTCGGACAAAGTTCACGCGATTTGGTCGTCGCGATTCAATCGCTAAAGATAAGTGTACGAGTTCATTGCCGATCTTCTTGTAAATCGGTTGTGATAGTTTTCCAACACGACTAGTCGTGACTAACTATCACAACCGAAATACAAGAAGATCGGCATGCAATGAACTCGTAACACTTGTCTTTAGCGATTGAATCGCGATGATCAAATCGCGTGAACTCTGCCCGAGGCCTTACACTGTACATTTTTGCAAGAGCAAAATGATTTTCATATGTTTTTGAAAAAATATCTATCGAAAGGCTTTCTGAGAGCCACAGAAACCATTTTCTCGGGTTTACAATCGCAGCTTGAAATATTTAAACATTCTGGTACAATCCTATGTCCACATTATAGTGGAGGCTTTGCACTTCTACCTCTATAGCAGCTGCACTCGAAAATCTAATCTATCAAAACAGGCGAATACAATTTGAAAATTTTGGGTGCATGCCACAGTCGATATCTTTGGAATTAATTTTGAATCTATAAGTGTATAATCTATAAGTATCTAATCTATAAGTCTAAGTGCAACAGTCACCGATCTAAAGTAGTATTTTCTCCATATTTCCTCTAAATGAGATTTTAGTTTAACTTGAATGACGAACTTGGTTTCAAAACAAATTTTAGCCGATTTTCTGTTTCAAATTTCCGCAAGTGTGTCCAACTCCTACAGCGAGGTCTACGCATGCCTGTATTAAACTCCCTATAATTCCAGTCCTAAAAAAAAGTTTTCCTCGTTGTATTTTGTAGCTGGAAGCTTGCTCTAGCATACCGCACATTTTTAAGCGATAGGAAGTATTTTCGTGAAGGAGTCAGACGAAATTGATGATGAATATGTGCTCGCCATGGCAGTGACAATCATCAACAGTTCGGAGGCTTCCGTTGACAAGAAAACTTGTTTTCACAAAATTCGAGCACTGTATTGCATTTGTTGTTGTTTGAGTAATATGTGCTCCAAATTTTACATCTCTACGTTGTTCCCTACTGTTTTTATCAGATAAAAAGATTTTAGAGTATGCAAGATTCATGTGATTGTTCTTTGATTAAGTTACTTTCGCTCAACAGCTTCGAGTTCTGTTATTCCGTATTTTCTTTTATCTTCGCGTGCGACTGATGGCAGGTGTCATTTCTTTGGACCTTCTTTTTATTTCTTTTTCATTCTGATGCACCTCGAGTGTACTGATAAAATATAAAATTAAGTTAAAAAATATAAAATAAAATATACAAGGCTACAGGACTTTTGGGACACCCTGTAAGTGGTTCTGGATCAGAGTCGGCTAAGGGATATCGGGAGAAGTAAAGAAATATTATATCAATAAAGAAGTGACAAAATCTTATTCAAAAAGCAATACTACGCAGGTGTGCGCATGCGCGTGAGGGGTCTCACACTATGGCCCAAAATTTCATGAAAACTTCTGTGGATGAAAGCCGTGCTGAGTTTTTTAATTTCAAATCAGTTGAAACCGTTCCAGCGGTTGCAGTTGAGCCTTTGCCCACATAATTTTTTATGCAATGTTACATATATCGTACCTTCACTTCAGAAGTTTATATGCAATCAAAAACGTTGTCATAATCTTTCCTCTAGGTCACAGCTTTTAAATTGCATATCATCGGATGCGTCGTGAGATGTGTTCAAATCTAACTTCCCTATCTGCTGTGCTTTTTTAGAATGAGTTGCGAGCGTTTCAAAGCTGAAAAATGATACATGGTAAACGTTCAGTGACATCCCTTCAAGATTTAGTTGTTTAAAAGCATTTATTTATGTTTTTTGTTGAGTGCATTCCTTTGATCAGTACACTTAACCACTTGCCCATTATGCACTCTCAAGTGGGATTTTCAAGCACATTCTGCATCAAGATTCCAATGAATTCACCGCTCATAACTTATTCCAGAGCATCTCGCAACAGATACAGATGGTAGGTTCAAAACCAAATGCATGTAATAATATGCATATCACCCTAATTTGCCACTGCGATTTCGGATCCCTCTGTGAGAACAAAATTCAGCCATGAAGCATTTCAATTTTTCCGCGATATCTTTTCTTCTTGTCGCTTCCTATTTTTCAATTCCTTGCTTTAATAACACTCCTTGACACCGGCGATTCGAAGTAAATTGAAAAATTATTATAATCTGGGAGTACGCGAGAGTAATCATGCATTTCACAAACGGAAACGCGCATGCACGACGGTTTGTGCCTCTTGTAGTCTTACAGCGAAACGGTCGCTGCCGAAATGTTACTCTTCGGAAGAGTAGCATACCTTCGATACATAGAGCCATGTACTCTAATAACCTTCAGTTTGAGCGCTATGATAGAGACAACCTCCACTTGGAGAAAAGAACAGAGGTCATCCGGAGCGACGTCCCTCATATTTATGACATAACTATAAAGAGTGAATGTAAGGCAAGTATATAGGGATATTTAAAAAGCTCGAAAAACCAAAAAAACATAACTAAAGAGTGAATGTAAGGCAAGTATATGGGTATATCTAAAAAGCTCAAAAAACCAAAGTTTGCATTGTAGCCTTCTTTGGTTAAAAGAAAGCTTTTATTCAAAGAATCCCAGAGAATTTAGGGCGACAAACTGGATTGATTTTTCTAGAGTACCACTGAGTGAGTTCATTAAAAACGAGAAACTGCGCTTGAATTTCGCGCAGATTGTCGTCACACAAATGCTGGTCTATCTCGTTACGAATTTTCAACACTCGCGACGCTGTCAGTGCTCCTAGTCATATCATGAGGATTACAACGATATATAATGTTGCAGGGTTTCATTAAGACCGCCGAGATCTATGACCAGAGCCAAATGCCCGCTGGCTCTGTCTGTCTCCGCTGCTCGTCTGCGTCTGGGTGCGTTGCGCGCTACCTCGCTACCCCGCTACGCGGTGCTTGGGACATTTGGCTCTGGTATACTTTTCTCCGTTGTTCTATGCCCATACGGCAAACCATATATCATAATAAAGTTCTTGATCTCTACTTTCACGCTGACAACGTCGCTGTTCCCCTTTTTTGATTTAGTCCAGAAAACTGGAAAAAAATCGCGTTTTCAAAGTCTCTTATTTTGTTTTTTTGTGTATTCAGTAGATCTTGCTTCTCTCTATGATGAGGCACGTCGCAGAGCTCACTTCTTTAATTATGCCGATTTTCTGAGTTAGTAAAAAAGTGCGTTTTTCTCTACCTTTTCTCTTTCGATGCTATCACGACGAACTTTTTCTCTTGAAAAGTACTTGCTCAGAATGATGGGCGGAAGGATACAGACAACGTCACAGGATACAGGAGCGACAATACGGGGTGAAAATCTAAAGGATGCATCAAAAATCAGATTGATAACGATGTGTGCAACATATCTCCTTAGAAAAGGCATGTGTGAACTTGTTCACTTCAGTTGTTGACAAGTTTTCCTTCTTTTGGTCTTCCAACCACCGTCACAGCTAAGCAGTTTTCTTCTCGAAATGGATTTAGTGTTGTGCTTACCTGTGCTTTCGAATTTTTCACGTTTCCTGATACGCTTCATATCTCTTAATGCCCATCTATTTTCTCAAACAACTTTTACTTTTTACAAAGGGAAGGGATTAACAACTGTCACTTTCTAGGGCTCTATCTCTTGACTATCGAAGGTTTGATTCGTCCTAAGTCGTAAGGCCTGGTAAGCCATTGCCATTTCAGCTTTCGAACAAACCAAAGCAGAATTCAGGACTTTAAATACTTTCTAATCATAGAATGGGTACAACAAAAAGGTGATGATTTTTGAGGTTTGTTAGAAACAAATTTAGGTTAAACGGAAAAGATAGATAATTGAAATATTCTGAAAACGACCATGGTATTTGACTCATCAATATCAATACTCATCAATATAAGTTTAAAAGGTGTTAGTGACAAGTTGACAAGTTTATCTTAGTGACATGAAGACTTCGCACTTTATGACCGTTAGGCAACGGGCATAGTGTTCGCGATTTCGTCTTCGCGATTCATGGCCGTGTATTTCGATGGTTTGGGCGTGAAAACGTGATGACGAAGTCGTCCGTCGCGCGTGCATGGGCGTAGTGCTCGCGATTTCATATCTTTGCACACGCAGGGCAGGTGCACGCACACTATGCAAACGTTCTTGTGCGATATGCGTTATTCCACTCACTTCACTCTCAGCATAGAGCCTCATGCCGATCGTGACGAAATCGAGTACAAAGAATTCTCGCATTTTGCCCACCTTTCAACAAATAAATTTTTACGAGCTTATCAGTTCTTAGCATAGTGAATCTCACCTGGGAATGTCGCCCAGTGCGAGCCAACAGCTACTAATAAGACACTATTTACCAACTTTTTAGGTGGAACAAGCTAGTAAGTGGGTTTTGTAGTGCTTTAGCAAAGACCCACACTAAACGCCTTTTCAAAAAGTCAAGCACAGCATCACTGCGAAGATAGCGAAAACACAAGCATAACCGTTTGGTGTTGATGCACGGTAAGGACAGAATTCTCTGTATTCATACGGATAGCGACTTAAAAATATGCAAACAAGCAAAGTGAAAATGTGTATTAACTTTGCGAAAAGCAAAGACTCTAACACAAAAATCACCTGGAAAACACTTCAGAAAACCATCTCATTGAAAATGCTTTCACTTTCGAAAAACAAGTCATACGACAGTTTAAGGTTAGGAAAAGGCGTCGAAACTAAAAGCATTTTTGTACAACTACTTTATACAAGTTTGTTTTTCAAATAAAAACAACTAAATCATCAGCGCCTGTCCCAAAAAAATTCTCAAGTTTTCTCCCTCGCACCTCAGCGAAATCGCCTAGTCGCCTGTGCAGCGCGCGTGACGCGACATCGCTGGGTTTTGCCAAAATCGCGGTGATTATCGCCGCCGAACTATGCCCTAAAGGGGTCTGCGATCCGTCCGGACGACTACCACAACCGCCGTAGCACACGCGAGTGCACGCAATTTGCGTAACAGTTGTCGTTTCACAGAAATCGCAGCGCGACGGAATCGTGACCACTATGCCCTAGGCCTTACGCTCTAGGCTGCATTCTTGGCGTCAGCAGAATAAGCCCAGGAGCCCGGAACCTGCTTTCAAAAGGAAGGATAACAATTGTTCTTAGAAAGATTCTGTAGGCAAAACACAATGCATAAACAGAGAAACTTTATTTGAATCATGTCAGATCAGCTCTTGATTTCTACTACCTTGAGCAATGGCAGTTCAGAAAGTACACTTCAAACGTGAGATACAATGCGAATAAGTATGTACAAAATGGATTAACACAAGGCTTTTCAAATGATATTTTAGTTTAGCTGGCTAAAGAATTCTGCTATTGAGTAGGTTATCGAAATAATAGCTTTGGTACTACGGTGTTACCCTATAACATTGATAAATATATTGCATCAAACAGTGTGATCTCGTTCACAGGTAGGAGGTTCTAATGATTGTGGATTGTCTCTTGCACAAACTGCTGAGAATGCATAGACTTAGCTTAGAAATTATATTATGAAAGGCATGGTATCTCGCTGAGTTATGAACCACAGATGCCGAGTACCCGTCCAACCGATCTAAATTTCTCTTGTAAGAGATTTGAACACCAAACTAATAATGGTTTACCGCTTGGTGCGATGTCGACAGAGGCTTGACAACTGGTTTCGATTACAACAACATCCTTGGAACATATTCGGGCAACATGAGGTATTCTGAATGCAAAAGAAAGTTAAGCAGGTCTCTGAAGGGTCATGGTCTGTCAGGTTTGCGCACAGAAAACTGAACTGTTCCAGATTCCCAGACAAAAATGCTAAAACGCCAAAAAGTTTCTTGTTTGGAAATCTAGCGTAACCAAAGTTGCCAAAGGCTGTGAGCTCTCCTCTGAATAATGATTACACTACCCACTCCAAATTTGAAAAATTGAAAACTCTTTAACCACCAGAAGAATTTCTAGCGAAATCGGCATTTTCTGCAATCACTCCTATCGCTTAAAAATCTATTGCACTATAGCGCTTATTCCGCTCCAACCTGTGCATTACAGCATAATCGCTGCTGTGGTGCACAGCACGAGTGTACGACTTGATTGCAACAAAATGAGGACGTTGATTGAGGACAGCAGGTAGGCGACTGAAAAATAGATTTTCTCTAATGTTTTGGAATTACATCATAAAAACTAACTCGAACTGCGCAGCAGCTACCAGTGTTACAGCCTTGGGAAGGTGCACATGCAGATGGGCAAACTGAGGAGCAGGTACCTGAGTGATTGTTGAGTTTAGTGGAGCAATAAAGGAAGAAAGCTCCTCGCTTACTGCATGCTCCTCCCCCAAATGACTGTTGGCCCTGACATGGATTGAAACTCATCGGCACGCACAGAGAGCCTTGTTGGCTGAACAGTTGACCTCCGCAACAGCCCTGAAAAATCTCATGGAAACCATCGGAATTCAATTCGGTCAAAGCTGCGGATCAAGAATTTAGACTTGATCAGTTACGAAGTCATTTTTCCCAAGCTGCAGAATCGAATATGGTCAACCAAATTTCGCTGAAACTTATAAATCTAGCATCATTTATTGTTACAATTTCAACTGTGAAATAATTGATCATTTCATGCTCACCGGCTGAGGTTGTGGCTGTGGTTGTGAAATTTGATAGGATGGCAGTGGCTGATAGGGCGGTGGAGCAGGAAACTGGATTGGTTGTGGCTGCAGGATTGGTGGCGGAGGAGGTTGGAATTGTGGGGGAGGAACGTAACTTCCAGCTGGTGATGGAGGAACGTAATTTCCGGTTTGCTGTGGTGGGGCGTATCCTCCCGTCTGCTGTGGTGGGACGTATCCTCCCTGTTGTTGGTAACTACTACCAAGATTCGGTCCTTGGTAACCGCTCTGTGGTTGGATGCTAATCCGTGGGAGTGGTTGCGGTGCGTATGGTCTTATAGGTGCAGGTGACACATCATAACTTGAAGGCTGCACCTGAAGAAGCGTAGGAATGGTTCGATACAAAAATGAAAGGAAAGAAATGCTATGATAGTATCAAGTCCCAATACTGACTCACTTGTATAGGCCTAATCTTCAAAGGTATATTGTAAGAAGGTTTGAAAACTTGAGGCACTTCTTTGTATTGTCCAACATTCCTGAAATGGGTTACTGTAAGAGTCACCCTTAGAGATGAAAAGAAAGAAATACGACCCACCTCTGTGGAGCATTGCTCTCAGTATCGATAATCGTTACCGGTCCACGATCTTGGTGATCTTCTTCGAGATTTGCATAGCTTGATTCTGGCTTACTGGGTCCTGGCTGTGGTACAAAAGGCTGTGTATCCTCGATATCTCCTGGGATAGGCGCAGCTACTTCTGGTACATAGGACACCTGCTGCGACGTTCCCTTATAAAGTCCAGTTGATGGAGAAGGAGAAGCATTGATGTACTGAGGCGCCACGACTGCAGCTTCTTTCGTGGCGGATGATGGAGCGGGACTCTCATATTCCTCTGAAATAGAAGTGAAACTTTGCGAAGGTGATGGAGCAGGAACGGCGACAGGAGCAGGAATGAGAGCAGGAGCGGGAGCAGGAGTGGGAGCAGGAGTAGGAGCAGGAACCGGTGCTGGGGTAATTTCGGCTGTCGAAGAGTAGGGTGGTCTAGAGCCGAAGGAGCCACCAGAGTTACTACTATAACCGCTAGAACTAGGTAAACTACTGCCCATGTTTACATGGGAGACCGATGACGTGACGAAACTTGACGCTGCACTTGGTGCTGGCACTAAGGCGGCATCACCTCCTTCCATGACGTCCACATTATTTGTTAATTCTGGTGCAGGTTCCTGTTCGAAAGCAGATGTCTGACCTGGTGCCGAAATAGCTGGCTTCTCGGGTTCTGCGTGATCCTCCTCGAGATTTGAGTAAGTGCTCTCACCCGACGTGTCAGGCTGCTGTACGAATGCAGGCACTATAGGAGCTGGCTCTACCTCTTCTATGTTGGAAGACGGTGCTGGAACTGAGACAGACACAGCTTGTGTAGATGGAGCAGGTGCTGGTGGAGGAGGAGGTGCTGGGGAAACTGTGATCGCAATCGTAGGAGTTTCATCTTTAACCGAGTAACTTAGGCTGGAAGGAGTGTGCGGAGTGACTGGCCCTGTGATAATATTATATTCATTCTGCTCAGGACGTTCTGCTAGTTGTGCACCTGCCACCTCTAGAGCAGACTCTTCTGACTTGAACTCAGTCAATATGGAAAACGAAGGAACAGAAGCATGCTGAGAAGAAGAGGGTGCAGGGTGCAAAGTGTTAGACTCTGCGATATTAGGAGATGAAGCTATAGGTGGTATAACAGTGGACGTGTGCTCTGGTTGAAGAGATAGTGGTGCGGGTTGTATCGCAACCGAAGGTGCAGGTGCAGGAACTGCTTGTGGTGCTAAAAAGAAAAAAATGTTAGTACCATGGGCACAACACATAAATATACTAGAAATGTTTTCCAACAGGTTTACAAGTTAGTGTGGTTGGAACAATTTTGCAAATTCGAATGCTTGACTACAAATTATTCCAAATGAGACTGATGTGACTTCCTTTTGCATCTATAGGCTTAACTAGCATTCTAACAGATATGCGCTCTAGCCATTTTTTGTACTGATTTTGTTCGGTCCAAACAGTTCCTCAAACGCTTGTGTCGATCTAAGCGGAGCTCTCACATGCATGATAGGAATTCAAAAAAATGTTGATGTAACAAAGTTCTCACATTCTTCACTGCTGCTATTCCCTTCTCTGCTATCCTCTTCGCTAGACTTATGCACTGATTCTGGCGCATGTGCTGGTGTCGTGGGTAGGGAACTGTTTGGCCCAGTCTTAGCAATATCAGGCAGAACCACGGATTCAGAAGAGGTAGACTTGTCAGCAGTTGATAAGGGGGAAGGAACAGGTTCTTCAAGTTCGTTTGAACCTGGCATAACTGCTGGTTCTACCCTAATTTCGGTGGTTCTGACTGGTACTGGTTCCGGAGCTGGTTCCGCTACCACAGGAGAAGGGGGAATTTCGACGAGCACCGATCCTGGGTCTGGGTTCGGCTGTTGATATGGTGCTGGATGCAAGGGAGCATTTTCGGGAGTCGATGGTGCTGCTGATTGAGTTGTTCCTAGTGGGACTGACGTAGGAGCAGGCACTGGGGGCACTGGTGCAGATGGTGCAGGTAACGGTGGGAGTGGTGCAGGAGCAGATAATGATGGAAGTGGTGCAATTGGTGCAAGTGTAGCAGGTGCAGACTGTGCAGGTGTGGAATCAGATTCGCAAGGCCTACAAACTTCCTTATGTGACATGACCGCACCGTCAACACTGCCTATCAAGTTGGTTTTTGGCAATGCGTATTCTACATCATGTGGTCCACGTGCGTCAGTGGGTGGAGCAGCAGGTCCGGTTGAAGAAAAGGACGAACTTGAAGATGCTTCTGGAAATACAAACGGTTTATTTGGACAGTTCTAAAGGGAACACTTTTTTTAAACATGTTAGTGCGCTTCTCATCGTTTACTTAATGTGTTTTATATGAAAATAATTCTTATCGTTGTCAAAAATAGAAGCTCGAGTTTTGCTTTCATATTTCTAGAATTATATGCTTTACTATTACATCAGTATTTCGTTCGTTGACGCAAAGAAGAAGGAAAATTGCTTTAGACAACCACTGAAAAGAAGGAAACTGAAAAGAAGCAACTCTAAAATGTTGTATCTTCATTGACTTGTTTCCATGTTTTGCAGATTTTATTGAGACTTAATTGTCATGAAACTAATATTTTTGAAGGTTAGATGAACGACCTGTCACGGCACAAAGTGGATGAGATGGCGGAAGTGTGAGTGGCGCGACCGACATGATGATGGTAGGAGGGGCAGACGGAGGTGTTAGAGTATAAACGGAAGCCGCTGTTGTAGGGCTAAACTCTGTGGTTGGTTCCTCGATGACCTCGTTGCTCAAAACCACTTTTGTGTTAGAGACTGAATTCACGGGCAGAGCGGACAATCCTTCAAAGGTATGTTAGAAATCACACAATGAACACATGCTAGTTCGTTTGATCAAAGAAGATGTTACAATAATTACATACCATCATAACCGTTAGGGAACTCGTCCACTCTGTTGTTATTCAAAGACCAATCAGTTAGTTTTCTGGGCTCTAAATGATTAGCTGACAAACAGAATTGGATATTGTAGAAAACACAATCAAAGTAAGCTCACCACCAGAATATCCACTTTCCTGCAAAGGCGGACGATTGATTCCACTACTGTTCTCCTTAAATACACATCATAACCGCTTGAGAAAAAAAATAATTTTTAGGAAAACTTACGGCTTTAACCATGAATTTGGGATTTCCTTCGCGCAGCAAAAACTCTACAGTTAAATTGTTTATGAATTCGTTCCCTTTCGCTCCTACTTCAGGTAAAGCATCGCAAAATCCCAAAGAAATCCTACAGCTATGTTAGTGTTGATCTTCTTATGGGTTTATGGAAGCGACCGCTCTTATTCGGTTTTTTATGAAAAAAAATTGCATACATTAACAGAAAGTCCTCCTTTCTTTAGATTTTCTGAAGTGACTGGCTGGAATACAAAGCTTTGCGAGATCTCCGTTTAACTACATGTATTAAAACTCAGCATTCCTCCACCTCTGCCTTACTTCTGTGACCCAGCTCCCTCACATGTAATCAGCAAACTCAGATAGGTTTACCCTTGCCAACTCCCACCCCGTAGCTCGAACCCTGCAAAAAATCGATGCATATGAGAAGTACTATAGGATTCCACATCACCACCGTTTGATTAAACGGGATTGGCGGCTGGAAGGCGACGCTAGCACCCGCAACGCACTCTGCGTCTCTCTCGCGAGCGTGCTCTCTTATCATTTCCTAGCCTTGATTAGGCCCCGAAACCTCGCCTTCCAGCCGCACCGTTAAAGCAAAGGGTACGCACATGTGCATTGAGACATAAGCCGCGCAGTCTGGCCCAACCCTATGCCAGCTCGCAGCTTCATAACTCACAGTTTGCAGAAAATCGACGCTACCATAATCAATCTATAACGGAAAGCCTCTACGATACCCGCCCGCTCAGAAGTGTATGAGTGCAACGTTTGGTCCAAGTTCAAAAGAAAAAATCCATTCGAAACACACATGGCTCACTTTGCCTATTTTGTACAGACTGAAGTCCATTTCCTACAGAAGGTGCCGCAGCTAGACAGACATCTTCTTTTTCAGAAAGCAAATACTGGCCAGATACTTTTGTCACCTTTTATCAGAAGTTTCCATTTCTGTGCATATGACATCTTCAAGCAATTTGTATGCAAAGCTGAATATCCACTTGTCTGTATGTATATAGTCGTCCTCACCCCACTAGTCGGTCGGTGGTCGAATTTGAATTCGAACTGAATCAGACCGGCCGCGGGACCGCCCCTCAGCCAACCGCTTGCACAGAGCTTTTCTCTTATTTTCTTCATGTTTCTTTGCTATCTTTCGTATCGGGCAATGTTCTTTGTCAGATTTTTAGATTTCGCATCGCTAACTATAGTTTTGTGCAGTTGTGCTCGTTTGTTTTACATTTTTTTTCCATGTAAATCGGGAAGAAGAATGCGATTGGAGTTTCGGATGAACAATCTCTTTTTTCCGGTAAGTGACATATACAAATACATACACAAATGTGATTTAATGGAATGTGTCGGCTTTTTCGTTAGAACATGTATTCTAGAATATTTTTTCTGCGGTAAGGCTAAAAATCTCTCAGAAAGTGTTTGTTTCAAAGAGTTAGTGGTATGAAATCTGAAAGTCTGATTAAGAACATTACCGCTACGAGAGATAGCAAAGAAACACGAAGAAAGTAAGAAAAAAACTCTGCAAGCTGTTGGTTGAGGGGCGGTCTGCCGCGCTCTGCCGCGGCCGGTCTGCTCCAGTTCGAATTCAAAAGCGACCACCGACCGACTAGTGGGGTGAGGACGACCACATCTGTATGTATGTGCTGAGTACAAAGCTTCATTTCGCAACCGATTCAAATCAATCCTACACACTACACTACACTTGGACGTTACTTGGATGTCATAGGCTAATCGTTGTAGAGTCCCATAATCATTGTATCCATTTCCGCAAATCATGAGCTACAGGATTGAGAAATGGATGGGGAGGTGGAGGAGGGGGGGGGGGGAGAGGGGATCGGTGAGCATCCCGTACGAATACATATTGGGGACAAGGAATTGCTTAAAGTGGGAAAGCGAAGCACTATGTATAGAATCAGGGAATGGCGGTCTGTATCCTATTAAATTGGCAGGGCATTTGGAGCCAAGTATATGCCAGCTAGTATCTTTATATAATAAAGCGGGAGAGAGGTGATACATCAACTTGGATGGAGGACTAAATGTCGCCGAAAGCAGGCGGTCCCATGTAGACATCTGCAACAGACCTTGCAGGCATGCATATTAGAGACAAATCAAGCAGCTTTCCTTCAGGGGGAAGCTATCAACGACATAACAACGATATACCTCCGTGCACAGTTGATTCTTTTCTTTTGCTAGAGTCATAACTCGACCCCAACTCGAACTGTGATTTCGCAACCCTATCACCCTTTCCCTTTTATTTTTCGAGTGGACTTAGTGTGGGGAGCAAACGAGTTTGTATTCTGATCATGAATGCAATATCCGCCTTTAGATTATCGAGCTCATCAATTGTTTGCAGATCTCCAGCTGGGCTACTGATGTTTGCTACATGGATAAGCCAATGGGCTGATTAGAAAACAGTGGAGCCTCAGAAGTGGGGCAGGGACAACGACATGTCTTAAATAGGAGCAGTGGTCTGAAATCAGCGAAGCCAGATAAGCCAGCCAGCTGCTAAATTTAGCTCATTTTTCAACAGACATCATTGAAAATGCATCTCATCTCAACGCGACACCATACTTCACGATTTGCTTTACAGATGGATTGAAAGTGCAATCAAGATATAATAGGCACGTGCAAGAAAATGAGAAAACACCGGACAAATACATGACAGATTAAGCGATCATTGAAGAAAGAATCAAGTAAAGAAATTTACATAGCAGCCCCTTTCGCTCTATCTTCTGCCGAATATACTCAGAACTTCGGAATATAGCACAACCCCTAAAGATCGTTACATTTTGTCAATATTCGCAAGCTGGCAAATATGGCCGACCAATTGCGAGAACACCCCTGTTTTTGATCGACAGAAGAACGTGCTTTGCGAGCACTAAAAAATCAGAACCTTCTTCTGTTTTTATGTACAGACGAGAAGACCCTCAAAATCACCAAGTTTATCTCCCAACCATGCTGGCTGTCTACGAAGCACTCTCGCATACAACCACACTGGATAAATCTAATCTCGGGAACAAGCTAAGATCTGCAGAAGGCTGTTGCACGAATTAACAGGTAGCTTCAACAGCCATGTAAGTCCTATGTCCTTCGCAAGCACCGACTATCGCGAGAGCTGACGACTGCGAAAGAGGCCTTGACATCGGTGAGTCCAACAGGGTTTGTGAATCAAAGAGTGGAAAAATCCTATATGGGATTACTAACTAGAGCTAAAGGTGAGAACTTAGAACTCTAGATTGTTCCAGATTAAAGCAAAACCTCCTTGTAGAAGACCTGCAAATGTGCGCAGACGCATACGTGTTTCCGGGTTAAGAATTCATTCGTGCAGACTGTACTCGTACTGTAGGTTCAGCTCTCCCCTTTTTCCTCTTTTCCTCCCCCTCCCCCCCCCCCCCTCTTTCCCGCAAAAATTTTTGAAGACAGCTCTTTCCAGCATCTGCCTAAAAGTCCCCTCCGTGTTCGCCGAGGTCCCTAAAGGGTCCGTTCGTCTCGCACTAGGTTGTTAGCCAAACCCTGGTATCTCATGCCGTCCCATACTACGTCCGGATGAGAGAAAAGAATCTGGTAGAGGCATCCTCACTTCTTGAAGAAGGAGAATACCTGTTGCTTCCAGTAAGGAAACTCTGATCGGCATGCTATGATTGATGACTTTCGGATACTTTTTGGATGTTCGTTGACGCAATGTGTATAACATAGACATATAAAAAATAGATGAATTAAATTCTGAGCAACTGAGGCGATCAAAAAGCGTCTAACAAAAAAAGTGTTTGGTCGAAGTGGCCTTTCCAGATGAGACCCATACTGCTTTGAAGAGCATTATGCGGTAATTCCAAAGCTACCTCCCAAATCCGCTCAGCGCCTCTGGACGCCGAGTTATGGGTGTTTTTCAGGAAAAAAATGGAACGCAAAACTTCAATAAAATCGCCCAAATTTGCTCAAATGGTCCAGTGTCAAGTGTCAGAACCGTTTATGCAATGGATACATTTTGTCTAAAATGCTAATACTAAACATTGCTTTATCTGAGCGCTGGAAAGATTGTAACAATCGATTTTACCTAAATTTTGCATTCATTTTTTGCTCTCAAAGACGGTCATAACTCGGCGTCCAGAGGCGCTGAGCAGATTTGGAAGGCAGATATCACCGCTTAATGCTTTTCAAAGCAGTATGCTCATGTGGAAAGGCCACTTCGACCAAACACGCTTCCTTTGTAAGTACTAAGGCGGCCAAAACAACATTGAAGAGAAGTAGGATGGACAAATTCTGTTGATAGAGCTTACTTCGTATAGTAGAAGTACTTCTGTGCCAAACAGGTTTGTTAGGTGTTCTTTTATTTCCAATCACGGCCTAACGTTTCGACGCCTTTCGTCTTCCCAGAGGCCTGAAAATGGCTCAAAGCGTTACCCGAGAAACGAGGCCATCAAGTACCATCTCCATTACTGCCAGTTCTCAATCTTCGTTCAACATTCCTACCGTAAAAATCGCTATGCCAGAAGATGAACATACCCTGTGAACACCGCTATTTGGGGTTCCGCACCGGAAGAGATGGTCTTGGCGGATAGAATGGACTATACCATAAAAGCACATAAGTGATCTACAGTCTGCATAGAGATATGAAGGGTAGAAAGTCCGTGGTAATTGACAAACACTCATTTTTATTGTTCATTGCTGGATTCTTCGCAGAAATCCAGAATGCTTCTAACGCCTTCCTTGCCGAGGTTTCCTTTTCATGTGCCAAGATTTGGCATTTGATATCGAAATCGTCTCCACCATGCGAATCGTGGCTATGTTTGCCCAGAGGTGAAAACAATGTTTTACGCCTTTTATCTGCAAGATGTTTTTTTACGCGAGTACTAAGTGTTCTGCCAGTTTCTCCGATATAGATGGCATTGCAGCTAAGACATTCTAACTGATAAACTACTCCCATTTGTGCACAATCACCTATTTTCCCGTGCGGACAGACCTACGCATCGATCTGTTATACAGTATCGATCGTATCTGTTTCGAACTAACTGCGTTTTGATATTGTCACCTGGGATGTCGACTTAAACAATATCGTTTTGCAGTTGTGCACGTGAAATGCATTTTCGAATTGCCGCACTGATGTTATCGGAAATAAATGGAAGGCACAGTGGGAGCTTATTATCGCGGATTTTGTTATACCATTCGCCTGATGTTGATCATGTGGCAAAGAATGATAACCGTTGCTGCAAGCAATCTTGGAGGCCAGATCTCGCGACTCGCATCGTTCTCTTTCTCCGGAGCACATCTGCATAGCCGTTTCAAACATATTCTTGATCACCGCTCTTTTCGTAGATGCAGGATGCGCTGATTTAACATTCAAAAGGATGTTCTTCGAGCTTTTTTTGCGGTACCATTTCATGCTGACAATACCATTGGATAATCTTACTTGCGCGTTGAGGTAAGGCAGCCATCCGTCGTGTGGTGTTTCTCGTGTAAGCTTTATGTACTGCGACTGTTGGTTCAAAATTTCGAAGCACTTGTCCATTTCGGACTGTGTTGATGTAAATATACAACAGTCATCGATATATCGGCAGTACATTAGCGGCATGCGGGCTAACACTGGTTCTTCGATCTTCTCATAAAACAAATGGCGAGAACCGGCGCCAACCTCTGACCCATAGCTAATCCGCTTATCTGGGATTAGTAAGTCCCAGACCATCCAAAGATGTTGCACTTCAAATATTCGCTTATCAGGGTCATAGTCCGCCTTTTGCCAAGCCCAAAAGTATTGATGGTAGTTGCATATTTATCCAACAATTCCGATAGCGCTTGCAAGGCTTGTTCATTCTGCACATTAGTGTAGAGCGAAGTCACATCGAATGACTCGACTACAGTGCTCGGATCAAACTGAACGCTTCGGACTTTTCCGATAAATTCGAAAAAGTCCGAAGCGATTTTTTCGATAATATATAAGTTTCTCGGGTAACGCTTTGAGCCATTTTTAGGCCTCTGAGGAAGACGAAAGGCGTCGAAACGTTAGGCCGTGATTGGAAATAAAAGAACACCTAACAAACCTGTTTGGCACAGAAGTACTTCTGCTATACGAATTATGCCCAGGTTTAAAGAAAGCGAAACTTTCAAATTATTAGAGCTTACTTCATTCCAACAACGGAAAATGCAAATTCAGGGAAGATTGGTAGCCATCAAATGCAACATGCTTAGAAAAATTTCCTGTACAAGGTAAGACCTCTTTCCTTATAAGTAACCAACCTTTGTAGGAACTTTTGAGAATAGCTATCTCCTATCATTCAATCTAAGTTTATCTCTACACTCCCCATTACAGATAGCATAGCGAAACATGACAATAGTCTCATTTCGCAGCCTTTGTAACCCCGCATTCTCTCCGACAACTCTTGATTGTCCATTTGTCATTAGCCTGTCACTCTTCATCCAGAAAAAAATAAAATTAAGAACTAGACGTGGGGATTTATGGTGAACAAATGCGAAAGAGCTTGTCGACGAGTGCAAATCCCTCCATTTTCGAGCAAATGACAGGCGTATTAGGAGAAAAGTATTTCAAAGAATAGAAACGTCAAATTGCAGTGCAGCAGCGAGATCTAGCCATCTTGCATGCTCGAATGACATATAGCTCCTTTAGCTAATCAAATGTACATTATTCACCAGACGGTTGAAAAAGAGGGGTGAAATCTCGACCGCATGTACGCAGACTTTCGAAGGTTAGAGGAGTAATCAACTAGACACCATAGACACTTCAGAGTCACTAAAACCATTCCTTCAATTCATTTGCTTTCTCCTTCTCTTTCGTAAGAAAAAAGTTTAGTAATTTTGTGTCCTTTCTATTCAAAACAATAAAACATTATGTATTGACAAATCTTTCACCAATACATAGGTTTAGCTCACGGTTGTTATTTCTGTGAGATGCACACAGAATTATTTTCGAAACCCTTTTAGAAATATAACTGTGCTTGCAGTAAATCAGAGTGCATAAGCTGAAAGGAATTCCGAAGAAAAAGTGCTTGTCAATTCAAATATCTGACGATTCGAAAGCCTAAAAATCATATCTTTTCTTTTTTCTTTTATCACATTTCTTTTCCATAATAACAATGCGTTGAAAAGATTGCATTATTAGCTCTGGGAAAGATGGGGTGGAGGGGAGGGGGGGGGGAGAGATAGCAGGCGAAATCTAAAAAATTAGCTATTTAAGAAAGATAAATCCGTTGCAACTTAATTATGATCAGTACTATAAGGGTTTCGTTTCACTTGACCAAAAAGGAGATCAACATGAAAAATTCTATCGAACCCGCTCAGGCCATTTTACCTGAACATAATTTAGCCCAAGCTTCAAGAATATTCATGTGCTTTCAAATGAAAATTTGGTAGTCTCCTCAAAAGCTTGATAAACCTAATCCAGCCTGAACTTTCTTAGATGAAACAAAGTAAAAGATTTGTCAGATTTACTTCATGTTTTCTTCTCCAATACTACCCTCAAACGTGCAGATGTGAAAAACGTACATGAACTGCAGATAATCCACATTCTTCACTCAATATTATAACCCTTAGGGACATAGGAAATCCTGACATTAACAAGCTGTCAACTGATGGTTTTTTCTACTATGTAAAATGTAGGAGATGAGAGGAGCAAACATCAAAAATATAAAATGTTTCCGAGAAAGGTGGAAAAATTCAAAGAAGCCTTTCGTTTGAGACTTAGGTAACATATGCAGTAAAGATTTCTCTTGCATTGAAATGGATGTACTAGTAGGCGCGATTTCATAATTTGCTGATGCTAACAAGGGAATGGTCAGAAGTCAAAGTGGCCAAACCAAACAAGCTGTATATCATTCGATGCAGTATAAAACGCTGACTTCGAATCTGTCTTTCTTATCTGCTTCCCACTTCTGTGGACGAAGCTACTAGCCATTAAAGACTATTATTTTGCTAAGAAATTAAGCGTGAAATTGAAAATTTAGCCGTGCAGAGCCACGTTCGACTTAATGCTGGGCCAAAACATGCAGCTAGCCTACTTCAAATTTTTAAAAAAAGAAGCTGAGCTAAAAGTGCAACAGTGTGCTCAATTTCGCTGTTTTTATGTGTGATTTTTTCACAATAAAACCGCTTGTAGCTTCGTCCACAGAAGCGGGAAGCAGATAAGAAAGACAGATTCTAAGTCAGCGTTTTATACTGCATCGAATGGTATACAGCTTGTTTGGTTTGGCCACTTCGACTTCTGACCATTCCCTTGTAAGCCCTTTTACATGGAAGAACAGAGTGACATAGAAGATCACTTACATCACGTTTAGCTCCACCTCCAGATGCTGATTTACCATATTTGGCCACTCTTGCTCTGTTCAATTCCTGTTTGATGATTTTTTCTGCAGCGTCCTTCTTATCACGACCGCTGAAAGCTTTCGGCCGTGAGGTTGTGGTGGTCGCTAAAATGTGAATTTTCGAATATACATATATTTTTAGGTATCAAATAACCAAAACAAGCTTGAAGAAATTTCAGTCTGTAGTTATCGCAACAAGCAGAGCCCGGCACAGCTGGAACAAGGTCAGGCTGACGTTTCTACGGAAAAAGAGAAGATCGTTTTTGTGAGGTCCGCGGCTTTTTGTATAACCATCAAAATTCTTCATCAACGGCACGATCTGCTCCGATCGCAAAGCGAGCCCCTAAGCAAAAACCAAGTGTTTGGTGCTGGCTATGCTCGCCTTCTCAATTCCCTAACTCTTTTTATATTCTTTCTTGTTTTTTAGGGGGAGGGGAGTCAAAAAAGGTCAAGGTGACTTGGTGAAAAATTCTGAAATCAAAGAGGCTTTATTTAGAATCTCCTCGTTTCCGAGCCCTAAAATCATTTATTGTTTACTCCAGAAAAGAGCAATAATTTCTCTAACCGAATATACAGGATGCCCCAGATGTCCCACAAATGTACCTACTGTTTGATTGTAAATAACTCTCTTGTAATGAAGTATCTCGAGAAGTTTTAGGTACCATTTTATAGAGCAAGGTTGAACTCAGATTTACAGTATGAAGCGAGTCATCGACCGCTCTTCATTACTGTAGGATTACGGTAAGAACTTCCAGCAGATGGAACCACTGTGAAATATTAGGTTGTACCGAAAGTTCGTTCGCACCATATTCAAAAATTTATAACTCGTTGACTTCCTATCGAATTTATAAGATTAAAATTTTGCTTAGGAGAAGAACTCATGCTCTTTGCATCTGTATCTGAATTGTTCGTTAATGTATACAAATAAAGGAGATAGAAGCTCAAAACCAAAATCACTCAAAATTTGAATTTTTCGTGTAGGGTCATAAAAAATCGAAAACTTGCAACAAAAATCGGAGCAATCGATATTGTAGGGCCTTTTACCAGCTCTTTCTAACAGTGCAAAGCTTGCGCTGATTGAGCGTCTCTACGAAAAGTTATGATTCCCCTGAAAAATGCCAAAATAAATCAAATTCGCCCTTTTGTATTGCTTTCTCGAAAATCGTGACTTTTCGTAAAGATGCTCAATCAGCGCAAACTTTGCACTGCTAGAAAGAGTTGATGAAAGAACTTACTTGAAGAACTTAGAGTTGATGGAGTACCGACTGCTCCGATTTTTGTTGCAAGTTTCCGATTTTTTATGACAGTACATAGAAAATTCGATTTTTGACTAATTTTCTTCTACCGCTCCTATCTATGCAGCGGATGGCCATTTGTAAGCAGCTAAGATATCATTATAAAGAGCATGACATACTCTTTCATACAAAAATAAAAGCGTTCAAATCGGTTGGAGAAATCAGAAGTTATGAATCTTTGAAAATGGTGCGACAGAACTTTCGGGCCAACCTAATATATTGTATTAGGTTGTCCGGAAAAATGCAGGTTTTAAAATCCAACCGCAATAAGTCATACACTTCTTAATTCTAAATAGGTTGCAAGATACCATTCGATAGAGCAAAGCAAGCTCTACAAAACGGCAGTCTTGCTTTAGCAACAGCTCTGATCCACCACGAGTTTCGAGCCAAAAACTAAGAAGATTCAACTGTCTGAAAAATTAAGAAAAATCGTAACCCAGTTCATAAAAGTCCTACAAAATTCTAAGTTGCTCACGTAAACACAATCAACATAGAGCATCCTAATACGCCACTGCCATATTTTTTCTTTGTTAGAAATCAAGAAAACGGAAATTTTCGTAAATTTGTCAAAGTGGTGCTGTGCCGTCCCCACATAAGTAGTTGTATACTACGAACCGCAGAAGTTCTAACGTAAGTTTCCAGCTCTCTACAAGCTTTAGTTCCCGAGAAATTTGAATTTTAGCTTGGACCACATGACTAGGGAAAACTGTATCCGATATATCTCGAGGACTAAAGCTTGTAGAGAGCTGAAAATTTACGTTTATACTTTTACAGGTTTGTGGTATACAACTACCTATGTGGGAACGGCACAGCATCACTTTGGCAAATGTTTGAAAATTTCCGTTTTCTTGATTTCTAACAGAGAAAAAAATATGGCAATGGCGTATATAGATGCTCTATGTTGATTGTGTTTACGTGAGCAAGTTAGAATTTTTGCAGGACTTTTATGAACTGAGTTACGATTTTTCTTAATTTTTCAGACAGTTGAATCTTTTTAGTTTTTGGCTCGAAACTCGTGGTGGTTCAGAGCTGTTGCTAAAGCAAGATTGCCATTTTGTAGAACTTACTTTGCTCTATCGAATGCTACCTTGCAACTTACTTAGAAATGAGAAGTATATGACTTACTGCGGTTGGAATTCAAAACCTGCGTTAATTTCCGGACAACCTAATACCACAGCCCCCTTTCTCCCTACCATCCCTTTTCTGCTTCCAAAATTTTGTTGATTTACGGATGATAACAGTTTGCTTAACGTATGCGGATTATCAAAAAAAGTTGTATTGTTTGCATTAAATGGCGTCGAGGAATATGTAAAGTCTGCGCGCCTTAAAACTCCTCTAACGGCTCATTTCTTGACGCCATTCAGCTTTTGATGTTTGTGCTTGTATAGTAGCGGACAGGGTCAACAGTAACGTAATGCGTGTTCGCTTTTTTTGCTAAACTTTCAATGGCGCCAACTTTTTATGAATGTGATTGCCTGTGTTACGCAATAATGAGTAGGCCTGACGACTTGTCCACTTCGCGCAATCTCCTCTGTTCAGAGAATTCTTCCTTTCATACCTTATATGTCCCACATTAATTCCATACTTTGTATGAAGAAAGAAAAGAAAGTGTCAAGGGTTTTTAAGAGAGCAATCTCTACGATTGAATTATCAAAAAGGAGTAACTTTCCATGGTACATACAGCTAGGAAAACTTTTAATACTTGCAAAAGCGCTAAGCATTAAAGAAATTTTCGAAATGCTAAACTTCCAGGCCATAGTATGCACGAGGATGAGCTGATGGAAAATAAAAATAAGTTTTGATAGGCTCAATACGCACAGTTCCTAAATGTAACTTGAGGCGCATTTATTTCTTACTGCTCATAGAGTAACGAAGTCCTGGGTGCGTCGAAATTTTAACAAAGAGACATTAAAAAATGTAACATTGCTACAACATCACCACTTTGTCATCTCGTCCAAATAACAAATCTCTTCATTGCATACAGAATCTACAACCTCGATTATAACTTTAAGATTCACGGGGACTAGAAAAATCTCATGTTTTTATCAGATATGTGGTTGCAACGGATTTCACTTTTGCTCAAACTGTCCTAGCTTGAACTACAAATAAGAAAATCTTAATAAGAACCTCTTGGAAGCAGTGTGGAAAGCTAAGGCGTAGGCGATCAAAGCAGCTGTAACAGCATCCTTTTACATTTTGAAGTAAACTGATGAATTGCAAGTACACTTTCAACCTTAAGCAAAATAAGGCCAAACGCTTTGATTTTAAGTGAAGTAAACAAATTTTCGCAATCAAAAAAACAGAAAAGACATTCAATTTTCTTTCCTGGTGCCTGAGAAGATATGATAGTCTTGTAGAGCAAATTTGTTTGATGACTCATGTGTGCTAAGCAGCATATAAAAAGAATAATCTTTTCACTGACTCCTTTGTCGTCTAGACCATTACCAAGAACACAAAAAGCAATTTTGCAGGTCTAAGACAAAAATTTTCTGAGTTCACTCCTCTACTTGTATTGAATATAGAATAGCTTTCCCCTCGCAAACAGACATAGAAAGTTCTAAGATCATTGAAAATAAAACATTGTAGCGATAGCGAAAGGGTGCAGAGATTTTTACTAATAAAATCACTATTTACTATTACGAAAAACTAGAATAAAAAAGACTCTTTCTGCTGGTACTATCAAAACTCAAAAAATCGCAGCTAAGAAACGGACTGGACGTTTGTAAAATAGCTTCGTTACTTACTATGAAACCAATCAAGCAAAAAATCAGAAATCATCAGTGTTGCAATAGATTCATTTGCAATGAAAAAGAATGTAAAAATCGCAAAAAAAACCTTCTTACCTTCAGGATTGGTCGTCACATATGGTCTGCCACCATTAGCGCCCTTATAGAATTGTTGCATGACCTTGAAAGATGAGATAGAAATTAAAAAGCGCGGAAGTAATTTTGCGAGCTCACGTACCAATTCCGATTGTCCTAGATTTGCAATGGTGAATTTGTGCTTGGACTTTGTGGGAACGTGTTCGACCCAGAGTGGGGCCTTTATCAAGTCTGCCGGAGGCCTTCCGGGCTCATCAGGGACAAACGCCATGCGTCCATCTCTTTTGGTAACGTAGATTTCTTTGTGAGGTAAAGATGTGATGGAAGCGAGATGTCGTTTGACATGATGTCCGATTTCATTGCTGGCGCTGAAAAATTTCTGTAATTTTTTTTTCTGGTTTTTATGCATTTATCCATTGGCGGAAATCAGATTTGTGGATTTTCCAAAAAGAACAAAATTTTACTAGAAAAAACACTGTAAAATAGGAGAAGGTAGATGAGATAGGTGTTGGGAAGAAAATTTCACTACTTGCGGAAGAATGATAAAGAAAAACTGCCTTGTTCATCTCACAGAACCAGCTTTCAAGTACATATAATAGAGGAAGCGTTCAAGCATTATGACATTGAAATGATAAGTTTCGCATTATACTTCTTGTTCCGCAACTGAATCGCTGAATCGCTTGATAGAGCCTTTGTTGCACGATTCAAAGCGAATATTAAGTAAAAGCATCAACCAATTTGAGTTCAATTAGCCGAAAAGAGATATAAACATTTAGTTCAGGTATTTTTTTTTGCCATTTCTGAAGCCTGCACAAAGCCTGTAAAGAAATCTCTGAATATGACGAAACAATGCAAGAGAGGGCAAAATTCTTGACAACGTCCTACGACTACGGTCCTATTGAAAGAAAAGGGGTCAAAAATGGATGTGGCAGTTGACTTGGTGTAACAAATAGATGGTAGTGTTTTGGATCATGCAGTGAAAAAATGTCCGTGTCCGACCTTGAAGAACAGGAAAGGGGCACTCATAAGTTCGAGAAGCAAATTTTTATGGCAATTATATTACAACTTTTTGCGACCTCATGTCGGTAGAGAACTCAGTAATTGATATGAAATTAGTAGGAAATTGCCGTTACTAAGAAAAGGCCTATTATAAGCTTAGTCCTACCTAACCAAAGCCTGACAGGGTTTAGCACTGTCTTCATAAAACAAAATTATTTTTAGCCCCATAGTTAGACAGGACTAGACATTTCCACAGCGATTGAAAAATGTGTGCGTGACCGAAATTCTGCAAAGAATGGCACTCAAGGGTGATGAAAAAGACCAATGGGTACATTTGGATTCTAGCATAAAGGCAAAGTTCAAAAGTGCTTTCTTTTGATGTAATCTGCAACATCCATACAATGCTAGCAAAGAAGCGCAAAACGTGCATATATTCTAGACAAACATCTAGTACAAAAATATCGCTTAGCAAACAATGTTCGAATTTGGTGTCAAGTTTTGATTCGTGAAAGAAAGGTGTGTCAAAAGGCGGACAAGATTTGAAAAGTTGAGAAATGAAAATATATGGTCACCATTTACAAGAAAAGAAGGAGCAAACTCAAATCGTGTAAATAAAAGTTGACAAAGAAACTCAAAGATGAGGAAAATTAGCAGATCTCTGGAAATGGAAGTGATCACCAAAAATGGTAAAATAGAGCTTTCTGCATTTTGGATACTAAACAAACCACGCGTTATTGAAGAAATTTTTCGCTTGAACAACTTCATAGCGGAAGAAATGAACCTAAAAAACTGGTTTTCGTTTATTGTACTATTTTCAATAAAAAAGAGAGCAGCGCTGGATAACTAACATTACAAGGGGTTGAAAACTGAACATACGATCTTCACACGCTCTATTTAATTGAGTTTCCTTGAACTTGACTAAGCTTCTCGGAAGGAGATTACGACAGAAAATTTAGGTTGGCTAATAAATAATTTCGGTTGCGCAAGGAAGTGAACTACCCCAATTTTTTCATTGTGCGTGAAAGTGAGAAAATTTCGTTTTTTTGCCAAAGAATTTTTAAAACGGTAGATCACAATTTTTATTTATTCGATAAACAGAGACTTTATGTATGTAAATGCCATAATTACTCATCTCTACATTCATCACAGCATAGCAACGAAGCCTAGGAAATCAAACAACCAAGTTTTTTTGGAAATTCAAAAATATTGGGACATAAACTTCCTTTACTGAACGTAGAAAATCCTGAGTAATTGATATGTTATAGTAATAGCTTTGAGCTACTTCCCCTCAAAAAATCATTGCTGAAAAAATATAAGAACAATCTTATGAAGATTTACATGCCCAACAAAATGATTTTTCATTCAATCTATTACTATAGCTTTTCACTTCAACTTTCTTTCACTTATATTATGATTCAGGAAATGTAAGGAAATAATTATGCATGAAAAATGGGGAAAAATTAGAACACGGCAAACATTTCACACAATGAGAAATCTATGACGAGAGTAAATTGGAGTGCATTGAAAGATTATTTAATCTAGTCCGTCACATTGCACTAAACAGGATGCACAGAGAGATGTCTCTGCTAAAACTAGTCATATTCTTGAAGAGTCGGGGGCGAAAGTCGAAGCCGTAGTATGCAATGATGAAAAAAATCGCAATTATCTGCAATTTGCTGGCATTCCACTAGCAAAGCGGAGAGCGTAATGAATTTGTGATGTTCGTGTGTCATTTCAAGCGCGATGGACATGGACATGGAATGGGCAATGAGTAGCCCCCAAAAGTGCAAGAGAGTGGACAACATTAGAATGGATGTTACAAGAAACAGGATTCAGATGAGAAATAGCCGATGGCTAAAGGGGAGAAGCAGAAGCACTTACGGTGTTGGTCCGTCGGAAAGCTCAGGGTGGGTGGAGTGTCGGGTAGTTTGGGCTCCTGGGTGATGGAGCTGTTTTAGCTCAGGCTGGTTGATATGGAAGATAGCGGCACCGGAAGTGACCGCTGGCGTACCATAGGGGTGCTGCGGTTGGGGTACGGTATAGTCTCGGGCAGGCGTTACCGGGAGCGGCCACAAAACCGCCAATATCAGCACGAAAAAAGTCATTGTGATAGCATCAACGGGGGGCGGAATAAGGTGTGCAGAGGAATTAGCTGAGAGATCAGCTGAAGAGGCAGACGAATTCGCGGAGGCGGGCAGATGTGAAGACCTTCTGGGGAGTGACGGTACACGGGCTGTAGAGAAGCGATTAGGGCGGTCTCGAATGGTCGCGCTGGTTGTTTGTGCTGGCCGTGGCGCCCGGGGGAGCTGCTCGTCGTCGGCGCGGGGGTGAGGTGCTGGTGGGCGTGGCTTGGCGCGCATATCCCGAGACGATTACCAGTTACGATGTGATGTATTGTGGTGCTATTTGTGTGCGAGATGGTTGAACCGAACGTGCCTGTTATGCGAACTGCGAGATGAATGCGCGAGCCCCAGGAAGCAGCACCCCGGGCTAACGAGGTGCGAACAGGATTTTCACCCCCCCCCCCCCCGGTCTGGAAATGCACAAACACCTGCTCGCGCATACAACAAACCGCTTCTGGAACGAGGCCAAAGCCAATTGTGATTCGGTCGGGTTCAGCTGTTGCTACTTGGTTTCTGCGGCTTGCCCATAAACAGAAAACAAGCATAACGGGAACTGTTTAATCTTCCATTAGTTGAGGGGTCGCAGCGATTTCCTAAAGGTCCGGGTTTTCGAGTATCATCGTATTGGGATGTAGAATAGTAGGATGCCCCATGAAGGGATTTTGTGTATGTGAAATTCAGACAAAAAATGAAACGGAACTGAGCGCAGTGGATGCCAAAACCCTTACATCAAAGTAAAAACGACCTGATTTTAAAATGGGAGGAGTAGTTTCTACCCAGGTTTGGAAAGCATAACATAATCTTTTATTTTGCATAACTGATATTTTTTTACTTAGCATTTTATTTATATTTTACGCAGTTTTCTATAGTAAACTCGGTGACCTTCCAGGATGTATTAATACATGCTATGGAGGATATGAGCCCATCAAGACATATTTTGAGTTGGAGATACGAATTTTTGATAGCCAATGTCGTTGTCTAGCGCTAGAATTTTATTGAGGCGGAGCCGAAGGAGTTGTAAATATTTACATTTTTTTACGCTCTGAACTTTATTATTGCATCGATCACAGCCGAAATAAACTTAGAAGATATTCCTTGCGTGTAACATCACATCAAATCGAACACTCAACCCTCTTTCGAGAGGGAAATGGGGCCGTAAGACGTGTGCCGCGCAAGATTTAAACGTTAGCATTTCACTTTCGGTAGTATTCTTCCGTTACAAGTAGTGCTTACACTTTCCGCTGAAACTCAGTGCGACGGTCTCACAGCAGAAAAATGGATATCCGTACGCCAGAGCTCACTTTCTATCATTGTTGTTGGTCGAAAAAGCCTGGACGAGAGCGATTTCGAACGACACGACGAAGGGCATTCGGCGGCCGTTGAAAGTACGACAAGAGTTTCGTGTCATTGTTTTCTTCCGCGTTTCGCTCGTTTAGTTTCATAAATCGTTCGGAAACGTTAATCGTCGATCCCCCGATTTGTGGGATAAACTCTGAGCTTCGAGATTGCATGTTGAATAAGAGAATCTATTAGATAAATATGTTGCCCACAGTTGGCCCTCAGGGATGTGTATGATGATCCCTAACAGTATGATCCTTTTCACTCGCAGAAAAATTACTTAGTCAAGCCTTTTTAGTGCTAAATTTTATGATGGTGAAGCTTGCATTTCTAAAAGTCTTGATGCGGAGGTTCTGCTGATTCAGGCTCTTTGCAAATTCTTCTAACTTTTCATTTGTTAGAAAAGGTAAATGTAGAGGCTTGAAGAGACGAAGAAAAGTTAGCTGACTCGGATAAAAATTGCGCCCAACCCAGGGCATCCCGAATCTCTCTCTCTAAAATTTCAGGTGACATAACCTTATATCCAGAAAGCTTCATCAACAACACTCGCCAAAGTTGGCAGGTACCAGTAGTGGACTCTCTTCCTCCCACATGGAGAGCTGTGAAATTTTTTTTGAAATATCCTCTATTAGTTATTAAGACCAAGCAGCTCATTTTGGCCTATAGGTAATTTTTGATTTTATAATTCTGAAAAATTTCAAAGAATTTTATTATATTTTAAATTATTTTTGGGACTTGGCTGCAATGCCTCCTTTTTTCAAGAATTTTGGGTACGTAGATTTGCAAAATTAAAAAGCACTCCCAATACAGTTCTGGAGGGCATGCCCCCTTATCTGAAAGAATTGATGCCCCCTAACTCCCAAAAATTCCTCGGATAGCCCATGTACTTTTATCTCAAACCTTTCTCAGCTTATTGTTTCTCATCGATTTTATTCAAGGAAACAAAAAGTAGTAAAACTTAAGAATCCATGAAAAATCATCGCTAAGAATAAAAATTCTACTAGTCTCTCCCAATATTTTGGGATAGTAGAATTCAGACGATAACGATTGACTGACTTAAATTTTATCATTGAAGTAATGCTGCAATTTCGAATATTTTAGATTCTGTTAGCAGATTCTAGTAACTTTTACTTTATGTATTTTGGAAAACGCAGAATCCATAGCGTTATTGTTTGTTTAGTTTCAAAGCAAAGTAAGCTAAGCTCTCTTAAATCATGCTAAATTGAAGGAATGGCAAGGACTATACTCTCGCCTGTATTTGTATTACGTTTTAAAGGTTCATTTAAGTGTTCGATTGTCATTGGGACATCAGTCATTGATCCAGTTCCTAGCAGTCCAGATCATAAGCTTTATCCTATACAACGACTATATGACTGCTTTGATGGTCGCAGAAGCGATTTCGGTGCCAAAGAATGCAACGGAAAGACGACGTAAAGCTAACGCTGAGCTACGTTCCGGCGCAAAATAACTCGGACAAAAAACGTTCATTCCGCACGATCTGCAATAAAAGTCGCGTGCGTACATTGAACGCAGCTGACGCAGTTGACCGGAACAGGGAACGTTGTGTTATCTGGCTAAGAACATCGCGCACGAGATGATTTATGGACGAGTTAGCACTGCTTGGTTGTTGTGTTAGTGCCATGCTTGAATGCGCACCACCGCTCTGACATCTTTATTTACGATCTGAGGTGAAGCGGATATTGTAAGATTTACAGCAGATTCACTTACTATGAGATCTTCAGCGGATCTCATAGTATTTACGACGTTATCGGACGTTGATCGAAAACGTCAAGCACCATTTACGCACATGTCCGTGACGATTTCCATGCTGTTATGGTGAAGCGCAATCCGAGATTCGGTTTCGAAATCGAATTCACTTCGTTTTCCCCTTGCTTCGGGGCAATGTACATATAATAATTGGGAAGCTTGCCTGAGAGCGCACAATAATTTGCTCGTTGATATGAGCCTGCTACAAGAATCGAGAGCTAGACTACAGCTCTTCATTTGGGGGGAAATCTCGATTAATATTCTGGTCTCAAGGCAATTAGCCCAAGCATTACCAAGAATGCCCTCGCAGTCTTGGCCAAATTCCCTCACCTCCCCTACTCCATTTTCCTCCTATCCTTTCACTCCTCTCCACCCCCCCCCCACCCATCCCCCATCTCACACACAATCCCCAACTTTCTACCAAAGAAACAGCTGGTATTTCAGATATCAATGCGCACTTAGTAGTTTGAATGATAATAAATGATGAGGAAGTACAACCACGAGCAAAACTCCAAAAGTCATCCCACCCTTAAGTAGTAAGTATGGAGTTTTGGAAAAAAAGGTGTCTCGGAACTTTCACTCTTGAACATTGATATTGATATTCCTTGCGACTAGGGCAGTTATAAAACTTAAGACTGTATTTTACATGTATGACTCTTTCGAGGAACACATGACCGTTGAGAACAAATGTTATTTTTACGCCCACCATTCTTTTTTCTCTCAGTTGAAGAAACGGTTATACAGAATGTGTAGGGTTGTTCAAAAGCGATTTTTCTGCTGCTTTCAATTACTTCAGATTTAGACCTCAAACTGTAACGACAGCACAAGCCTCATAGAATACTAGTTCTGGCTTCTCAAAATTTTCGAAATTATTTTTCTGATGCTTTTAGATTCCACTTTTGGTCATTTCAAAGTTCGTAGACCTCGAATGGCGCAATACTAAAGTGTGATTCGTACAGCTTCTCCTTTTATTTCTGACAGGAGTTTTTTCTTTCCAAATTGTAAAGTTCTTCGGGGAAAAATTGCCGTAATTTTTGATTTGGAACCCGCCCCAGCCTGCATTCGTAAAATGCGGAACTTGATATTTGAGGCGGTAAACGGTAAAATGCTTTGTAAAATTAGTGTATAATTATAATCGATTTTTGAGTTATTTTGAAAAAAAACTTAATAGTCACTTGGAGATGCCAACAAATTATTTGCACTTTGTTTATACCATTCAATCGTTGTCAAAGTTTTTCAACTCACAAGGAGAGTTTGAAAAATTGAACAAGTTACACATGGTATAAACCATAGGTTTGAAATTTCGGCAATTATTTCAGTCACCACAAAAGTAACCAGCAATGGAACATGTCTACTAAAACGAGGAAGAAAAGCTGCGTCGCATAGCTTTGGAACGTTTGCCCGTCTTTGTTCCATCTGCTTTTATAATAGTTTGAAAAATGGAAGGAATGGAACGATCTAAGCTCAAGGGCCGGGGCATACTTCACGCGATTTCAGTCGCGACGCTATATGGCAATTTCCAAACGTCCATAGCTTATTGTAAGCAAATTCTAAATGTACAGAATATGGGGCGTTTTACCAATTCACGTAAGTTATACACACTATGCATGTGCGGTTTGCTAGTATTGGATCTGAAGACTTCTGGCGAAGTGCTAAAAAGAAATCGCGCGAATTATGGCCACGGTCCTTTACTCATCGTATATGCGGGGCTTTTTGACTCGAATTAGCATCGCGAGTTTGTGAGTGTTATGTTGTGCATTCACTTTCTAAGATTTCGGAATTACTGGTGTACGTCTAACGGTCTTAATTGAGGCTCAAGTGCTCTTCACGCACCCATCCTTACTAATAGCATTAATTTGTACCTTGTGCATTCCAGC